CCAAAGAAGTGGGGGTGCAAATCACTGAAGCATACCGAGTGCTCCGACGAACGGAGTAGTACAAGACCTCAGTGTGTCCAAAAGTTGGGGGCTGGATCAAAGGATCATGATGAGGAGGTGGGTGGAGGACGGACAAAAGCTTTGCGACTCTTGCGTACTCGGCACAGTGCTGCATCCCTCTCTATCCTCAGACTGCCCAGGTTCCTACCAGGGCACCTACCTACCTAAGTAGGTAGGTCTGGCAAACATCACGAATACAACGTTTCAAACTACGCCGCATAATCAATTAAAAGTCGCTCATACAGCCGGAGAGCCAACAGAAGAGGTGTACTTTTGTCACGGGCGGCGAAGTGCGGGATGCGAACGAAGAGCGTGCGGCTGTGGGAGACAAATGTTTTGAGTCAGAGGGGCCTTGTGTGTGGTGGCTAGAGAAGGGACGAGGACAGAAAAAGACAGCATTAAGAGGTATGGGGGGCCAGTGAGCTGCCCGACAGCGCAATGCCTTCGGAGTTCTGAAGCCATCAATTCCCTCTGACAATTAAGGACCCTGTCGAGTAACCACGGCGCTCAGGACGGACGGGGTAGTACTACTACTACTTGGGGCCGACGCCGGATTCGTTGAGGATTGGGGGATGGCCCCGTGGCTGTGGTGGTTGATGAGTCACGATTGCTGGCTCAAAGTACTACTACTGACTGGATGATGATGGCTCCTGGGACGGCTAACTCGGACGATGCAGAGCAGAGCGGAGCAGATTAAGACACGACTGATCATCCCTGTCGATCGAAGAAAAAAAAACACTAAAAAACCAGGACCAAAAAAAAGAAGACAGAGTGCAAGCAATTGCGCTGGAAAGTGCCCTCTGCGTCCTCTTGCCTCCTTCCCTACTATGCACATACCTAAGGGTACTCCATACTCCGAAGGAAGGTACGCAAAGCACGGTGAGCAGGGGGTGACCCATCTCATACCTCAGTTCTCATGTTCTCGTACCACCTATCCTCGTGGAGCGGGTCCATATTGTGCAAAGAGCGGAGCATGGCGAGAACATGGTACGCATGGGAGCTACGGAGCAGTGCTACAGTGCTGTGTTTGAGCAACCTTGTCACCTCGTTGCTTGTCGTGTCTTGCTCGTTCATAGTGCGGGAGTGGGAGCCGAGGAGCGTGGGTGGGAAGCTCAGCCCATCAAAGTATCTTAGCCACCGCTCGTAGACATGTGGAGCAGCTCGTCGTTCCTCGAACTTGGATGGCTATGGCAGCTGTGACATGGGAGTCTTCAGCACAGTCTGGACCAATGGACCAATGCGCCAGGGTGGCCCGGCACACGCAACACTATTCTTGTACGTGAGGAGGGATGAAGGGTGATGGACTATCAAACAGCTTTTCTCATGCTTTAAGCCGAGCAGTGAGTGACAAAGAAAGAAAGAGAAAAAAAGACGAGCAGCAAGCTGGCCATGTCCCGCAGTGGGAACCGTGACTACGGAGTAGACTGAGACCCAAAACCTTACGCTCCTCGTACGGAGTACATACTAATATGTACATGCCAAAAAGCTCTCGGCCATGTTCACGAGAGAAACTGGTCCGTGCATCATGTCATCTCCTAGCAAATCAACAGCAAAGTCGCGCAGCCAGCTAGTGGCCAAGTGGGTCTTGTGTCTAGGACCCACCGACACGCTGAATCAGCCAGTAACAAGTGTTAAAAGAGGCCAGGGCCCCCGCCCCAGCAATCAAATCAAATCACATCCTCGCATTTTCCTGCATGTACGGAGTACCGTCGTCTCTTTGACAGCCAGCCATTCAATTCCCTCTCACACAACAGCCAATCAATCCCACCCAACGGCTCTTTCATCGTCCACTCAACGGCCACCGCTGTTGAGGTCGCACCAAAGGACAAAAGACCAGTTGACACACCAGACCTTGACATCCATCCATCCTAACGCGTCTGGTGTGCCCCCCCCTTCTCTGTGGAACAACCAGACTCACCATTCGCCGACCAGGCTGCCCCAGCCATTCACAGCAACTCGACTATCTGTCGAGGTGTTCGGTACCCCGTACTACTTGTGCCTTGCGCGCGCCCCAACGTCCAGTCAGAGCGAGCCTGAGCGAGACAAAAGGGAAATAGAGAGCAAAGCTCGAGCCAGTCTGCGCCAACTAACCCGTTCGTCGGCGGCCAGCTGGCCTGTCATTGCAACCAGCTCAGACCAACCCGGCGCCTGTGTGAGAGCCATCGACGACTAACCGCCTCGCGCCTCTCTTCATCGCTAGTGCCGTGCTGGGAATAAGCGGTAGAGCCGCTGGTTTTGGACATCTGGAGGTGCAGCTACGGCACCAGGTCCGGGTTCTGAGCCTCAACAGGCGACTCAAGTGCTTCCCAGGTACTGCGTACCTGCCCAGACAGGTGAGAAGTGGCTTACTGGCACAAGCAGACACCGGCTTTGACGTACAGAGCACTTGGGCGCTGGCTACACGCACTACGCACTCGTGCATTGCGCTGAGCGCCAGCCCTGCGCGCTGACTCTGCAAGTCCATTTTTCAACATTGAAATTTCCTCATCCCAGAACTGCGCCGCGCCGCGTCGCTGCCCGCCCCATTTCCATCCCGCCCCGGCTGGGCACCTCGACCTTGTGCTTTTACCTTTACTATACTTGAATTTATTTTATTTTATTTTATTATAATTTTATTTTCATCCTATTCTCGACTTGTTGGACCCCCGCCACCGGGCTGGTTGTCTGCATCGGGCCATCTCCACCAGGGCGGCGTGGTGTGTACTCATGTACTACTACTACTACGGAGTACTAGTACCAGTGTTGCTCCCCGCCTTGTCGGACATCGGCAGCCTTGTTACCGGAAACCGGGCGGCACCTCTCCAATAGACTCTGGAACTAAGAACTGGGAACGTTGGGACCTGGGAAATTGGGAACCCGGCTCCTCTTCTTCCAGCTCTCCACCACTCGACGTCGTCGAGCTCTGTCCCAAAAACCGCCCACTCCCTTCTCCTCAGCAAATCAGCTCCCGATTTTTGCGCGTCGCCCATTCGACCTCATCGCAGCTTCGTGATCGCAAAAGGCCTATCATCGTCGCCATCATCCTTTTCGCCCTCTTCATTGGCCGCTTTTGCCATCAGGTGACTGCGCATCGCTGCGCGTTTTGACTGTCTTCATTTGAGTCGCTATCAATCAGGGCGCAAAGAGCTTCGTCGCGTCTCAACGAGCTCCGTCATTGAGCTCCGTCGCGCCATTGCAATAGGACACGGCTTGTGTCACACGGGAAACAAGGTATGCGCAGTTGCGAAGCTTCCTTATTATCATTTCAATAGAACCACGCATCAACCGTTGGCGCCATTCTATTAGCGTCCATCCTGGCGTTGTTCTTGGTCTTGATATTCTGCCCGTCGCCGTATACCTCCCTGACTGCGCGCTTCTTTGCCACTGTGCTTGTTCCTTCCCTTTTTCTTGTCTTTCTTTTCTTTTCTTTTGCCTCTTCTCTTGTGCTTGATTTCTGTCTACACATGCTTCGCCCCTCACTCGCACAATGCCTCGCCATTTGCGCGCTCGCACATCATATTGCCGTCTTTGAATCCGAGGCTGCGAGAGTCTTGTCGACTGGTTCACTCGCCATGCGCCTGCACCATCATCGCCGCTTGTTGTCCGCGTTGTTACGGACGCGTCCAGCCTCGCTAGCATTCGCCGTCGTAGCGATTGCATCCCACGGGCAGTAGAGTCGAGACGAGCAAGCGCTCTTCCATCTCCAGCTTGTGCAATCTGCGGCGTGCGCTCAACTCACATATCATCTTGGGTCTTGTTCCTGCCATGCTACCTTGGAGGCAGCTCTTGTGCAAGGTACCTACCGGTCTTTACATGCTAAAACAAGCATTGCCTGCGTTCACACCACCACCCCGAAAGAAACCCCCTCCCGAATACCGTCAGGATGGGATGAGCTACAGCTCGGCCACCAGCCTGCTGGTTTTTGCGCCGAGAGCATCTATCTCGACGGCCACTGATTGTGAGCTGTTTGTCCATCTGCCGCGGCACTGAAGGCAGGCAGTCGTGCTGCTCGTGCCATGCCCAGCTATGCGACCACGACCCTCGGCTTTCGCCACGGCTTCTGATCCTTTGTGGCCACCGGAGCTGCTGCCATGACCGCTATGACTGCATTGCAGTCTGGCTGTTGGCGCAGTTGGGCTCGGTGGACCTGGGTAGTGCAGTCGGTCCCTGGCCTGCATGAGCATGAGTATTGAGGGGGCTGCCAACGCATCACAAGTGTGGCCACCCAAGCTTGGCTAACAACCCTCTGTCTGCCTTCCCCCAGCTCTTGTTGAGACGGAGAATCCACTGACAACATTGTTGAATCTGCTCTTCCCTTTGCCTGTGTGCAGCGTAGCTAACCGCCGTGGTTGGACAGGTTGTCGTCGTCTTCTCGGCTGCTGCGGCTCATCGTCAAGCAGACGGCCTTGCTCATCTTTCTTGCAGCAGCCCGCGCCTCTCCCGCCTTTGAGGGCAACAATTTTAAAAGTCGAGCTGTGGCGGTATTTCAGGCCGCTTTCCCTCGACTACGACGTCAATCTGCAGGCGCCTCTGGCCGACCCTTGGAGGCCACCATCGCCCTGAATTTAATTTTTGTTTTGGCACTACGTCGTCGTGCCAGCTCACACACCCTCTACCGGAGCCTTGGGTGCCTATCAGCCAGCGGCTTTGCGACTGACGGCCTGCCTTAGCCAAGTGACCAAGGGCCCTGCCGGGAGTAACCGTGCCCAACTCGAACCCAAGCAAGGCTGTGCATTTTAAGCAGCTATACTCGCCACAGCGTTGACCCGTCGCGACTATTCGTTATCTGCCGTCGAAACCTCTTTGCTTGGCTGCCGTGTCCTTAAGTGCTGCTTGAGGGCCCTCCTTTTCTCATTCGTTCCCCCACACACACGCTCGCGTCATTCTCGCCAAACGTCCTCTGGCGGGCTCCGTTACCCAGTTGGCGCTTGTTCAACCGTCGAGCACGCAAAACACCAAACATGTATCAACCACAATACGGCGTGCCGCAGCAAGGCATGCAACAAGTTCCGTATGGCATGCCCGGTATTCAGGCCGCCGCAATGGCTGCCACGGCCGCTGCCTCCGGCTCAAATTACCCCTACATGCACTCGGATCCCAGCATGCCTCAAACCTCACCAAGAATGGCCGACGGCTCCAAGAAGGACAGCCGGCAATCGCCGAGAATGAACAACATGTCGCAAATGCCCCGAAGGATGAGCCAAGTTACAAGTCCAGGTATGCCCAATGCCCAGGGCATGATGAGCCACGCCGCAGGAAGGCCAGTTGCGCCGCCCCAAATACCACCCGGCCAAGCGATGCCACACCCTCAATCGCCTGAAATGCCTGCTGGCGGTGCTGAAGAGTCTCCTCTCTACGTCAACGCGAAACAGTTTCACCGTATTCTGAAGCGCAGAGTTGCCCGCCAGCGACTAGAGGAGCAACTGCGACTCACATCCAAGGGCCGCAAGCCGTACCTTCATGAATCACGCCACAACCATGCTATGCGACGGCCTCGTGGCCCCGGCGGCCGCTTCTTGACGGCTGAAGAGGTTGCCGCCATGGAGAGAGAGGCGAAAGGAGAAGACGGAGCCAAGGTTGAAGGTGGCGACAATACCAGCGACAAGCCGACAGAATCTGTGGGAAGCAAGCGCAAGTCTGAAGCCGAGGCCCGGTCGCCCAACAAGAAATCCAAGACAGACGCACAAAATTCAGAAGAAGACGCAGCAGAGGATGATAGCTGAGATGCCGGATGGGTTTTGGCAGCGCGGGAGGAGGACCAGCAATTGTTCAGCAGCCTGTATATTTCACGATGTCATGATGGCAGAAGTATCTGTTGCACCGTCCTCATTTTATTTGACTATAATTTCCGGGTATTTCGAGCAACTCTTTATTTTCTTAGTTTGCTTGACCCCCCCTTTTTTGCGTGGGAACTGGGTGTTTGGCAGGGCCGCAGAAAGCAATGCCCGTGGAAAGGATCTCTGATTTGGGATATCCTGTTTGTGACCTCTGTGTAACTTAAGAGTTGGCGGGACACCAAGACTAGGAACAACTTGTGGCGAAAGGCTGGATTTGCTTTAATTACACACATGGACTGGCAACAGCATACCGATGCTCATCATGGAAGGGATGGGCGGAAACTTGGGATTACGGGATGGTCAGAATGCATGGATGAATCGAAACGATGGATACCCTTGTTCCCTGTGTCTCTCATTCTCTGTTGTCTCTCACTTACTCTCACTCTCTTTCTGTCTTTCCCTCTTTCTACCTCAAACTTCTCTCTATTTTCTCTTTACCATATTGACAACTATTTCTTCTTTACACTGAGAAGTGTTCTCTTTTCTGTTTTATTTTCTTCAAGGCTGCCCAGCTTTTGTTTTTGCCGCTGGATTGGCAAAAATACAGAGCATCTACGAGGAGTATGACTGGTGCGTTACGGCCGGCACATGGCTGGCAAGCACTGGCAACTTGGAATGGGCAACCAGGATTGGAATTCTACAAGGAGGGAGGAAGAGGGAAACGATGTAAAAAGCGCCCCTCCCGTCCTCCCCCCTCCAAAAAAAGGTACAAAATATGGTTCTCCAAAACAACACAAAAACAAGAGACATGCCGAATCAAGCTGGAAAGAGAAAATGATGTCAGGACACATTCCCGGAAGAAGAAGAAAAAAAAGGGGGAGGGGACCCCTACTTTTGGGCGATGTGATGGATATAGATTCAACTAGGGTAGTCCGTCACCGGATATTACCGTGATATCAGTTGCTGTATGTAAATTGATTTCTTGGTATTCGTTTTTCTATTACGAGGTGGCTTGTGACGACGCGTGTTGCGTGTGATTAAACAATTTAACGAATCGTGCCAGTGTGTAGGCGTAGGCATTTTGGCGGTAGATGGATGCACGTTGCATTGAGCGACATGCTGTGCCACGAGTATAATTTGGGGGAGTGACGAGAACAATTGGCCAACCAAAATGAGGTGTGAGAAATCGACCGAACGGGCGTTTTGGGTGTCAACAGCCGGTGGCCAGCAAATAGAATCAAGGCGGATGGGATGGGATGGGATGGATGGCCCTCCCTCTCCGTCATGGCCCCCATCCTGGCCCGGCCAGCCCGTCAACCCGTCGAACAAGGGGATGGAGGCGGAGAGACAAAGCCATCGACTGGTCGATGCCCTTCTCCATCCATGCCTGGCCTGCGTTCGAGGTTGCTGGATCCGATTTGGCGGGCAGCCGCGGGAAGAGATCGGTTGGTGTCACTTTGTGGTCTCTCGGCTGGTGGATACCGGTGGGTGTTCTCCCGAGGATCTCGAGGTGCAGGTATTTACCCCAGGAACCTCGGCATCTTGGAGGCTGCAAGTGCGGACTACTTACAAGTTCCCCCTCCTTCCCAATTCCAACGTCACGCGAGTCTTGATTTTGCAAATGCCTCAGCTTGTAGATTATTTTTGAGGGCATTCCTTTTATTTCTTCCTTTGTGTTGGGGACTTTTTTTGTGCGCCATCTGCGAATTGATTTGCTGGTGACTCGAGTACACATCCCTTTCCGGTGACGCAATTGGTGCTGGTGGTGCCGAGGGGGAGCTCGAGCTACTTCTAGAAGCCTTAGATATTCACTCGGACCTGGATCACGCACGCCGCGGGCCTTGACGATTCGCAATGGCGGGCAGAGTTCGTCAGCCCATCGACGAGGTTGCCTTCAGCAAGTTCCTGGGCGAAAATGTGCCCGAGATTAAGCTGCCGATTGACCTGAAGCAGGTATCTACGACACTCTGCAGTCCCCCTCCCTCTCTCTTCTTCTCCATCACCTGCTAACACGAAAAATGAACAGTTTGGCTTTGGTCAATCCAACCCGACGTACCAAATCACGGCCGCCGACGCGCGCAAGTTTGTCATGCGCAAAAAGCCCCCCGGCAAACTCGTCTCCAAGACGGCGCACAAAGTCGAGCGCGAGTACCGCATCATGCATGCCCTCGAAAACACCGACGTCGCCGTCCCCAAGACCTACTGCCTCTGCGAGGACGACTCCATCATCGGCACGCCATTCTACATCATGGAGTTTCTGGACGGCCGCATCATCGAGGATTTTACGCTGCCCGACGTGAGCCCGCAGGAGAGGACTGCCATGTGGAAGGCCGCGATTGAGACGCTGGCGCGCTTCCACGCCGTTGACTACAAAAAGGTTGGGCTGGGGCAGTACGGGAAGCCGAGCGGCTTTTACAACCGCCAGATTCAGACGTGGAGCACGATTTGCATGGCGCAGGAGGCGATTGAGGATGTGGAAACGGGCGAGAAGGTCGGCCGGCTGCCGCGGTTCGAGGAGACGGTTGGGTTCTTTATGAACGAGCAGCGGCAGCCGGCTGATCGTACAACGCTGGTGCATGGGGATTACAAGATTGATAACTTGGTCTTTCACAAGACGGAGCCGAGGGTGATTGGAATCTTGGAGTACGTCTTTTCTCCTCTCCGGGGGAGGTATCCTTTCCTCGTACTCGCCTTTGTACTAATGGACTGAAATTGAAATAGCTGGGAAATGTCCACCGTCGGCCACCCGCTCTCCGACGTGTGCAACCTGCTTATGCAGTTCTACACGGCTCGCCACTCGGGGGCTGCGCCAGAGTCAGCAAAGGGCTTTTTGCCCGGCCGCACGCCGGGTCTGCCGACCGAGGCGCAGCTGCTGCAGTGGTATGCCGCCATCACGGGTTACAACCCGCAGCCTGACATGAGCTGGGGCATGGCGTTTAACATCTTCAAGCTGGCCGCCGTGTGCCAGGGCATCGCGGCCAGGTACGCGAGGAGGCAGGCGAGCAGTGAAAAGGCGAAGCAGCATGCCGTTACGAGGGTGCCGCTGGCTGAGTTTGCGTGGGAGCTGGCCCAGGAGGCGGACGGCAAGGCTGGTTCGAAGCTGTAGAATACAGGGAGCTGTGTATGGGATGGTGTGACACGGGGTCTTACGAGTCAGAAGCAGTGGTTTATTGACCTGTGATTTTGGGTACTTGTGAGATGATGCCGAGAGTCAGATTACTGGAACGTGACGTGAAGAAGATGTCTGATAATTCCGGTAAGCTTCGGCTGTACTCGGCTGTGTGTGTGCAGAGCTCATCGAACTTTTTGGCTTAGGTGATGTTGCCTCATCGGAGGGAAAGAGCGCACGTTGGATGCGACTGACGACATTGGATTGACTTGTTAATCTAGCTTTAGTGGACCGGGGCGCTCAGCCCTGCCCACTTACTGTCTGGTATACTATCTCTTTATGCAGTAACTACGGAGTACTGTAACAACTATTTCGTACAACTATGGACAACAATTGGAGCACGAGAGTCCGGTCGATGACACTTTGGTGTTGTAGCGTACATGGCCGACACGCGACGCAAATTGGCGGCACGGGGTGGCGAAGCATTACATTCTATTAGTGTTCCCCGCATGGCCCCAAGCAGCACTGGCAAGCACAGGGTTGCACAGCACTGGACATGGAAGCAGTTGTTCCATTGATCGCTGCTGCATCGCTGCAGCCCAACGGCGCCATGACGCACTGACCGACTGCCGTATGGGCCACATGCAGGCTTCCATGTCAATGTCGGCTGCTTCAATGCTTCCTCGTCTCCTTCAGTCCACACGCGCCTTGCCCACGCCTCCATGCCCGCCAACCCTCCGCCCTCCTAGTTAATATCAAATATTATAGTTCGTCGTTACACATTGCATCTGCAACACCTGTGCGTACCCGTCTTTCATGGCCCCGGACCGCAAGCGGCACATTACCCTGCCGCCGCTGCCTGTTGAAGAGCGCCGTCCTTTGCTGGACAGGCTGGATTCCGACTGTCGTGGCGCGAATGATGACGCGGGGGAGCAGATGTACAGCTGTATGACGAGTCCACATAGCCATTTACCTGTGTATACCAATATTCACCGAATCCGGAGAGACATTCTCAGCGTTGTCGAGGATTACCTGAGTCTGGAGCAGTTGAGGGACGTGAGGATAAACGTCACCGTCATCAGGCCCTTGGTGGACAAGTTTTACGAGTTGGATGATATTTCCATCAGTAAGTTTGAATTCCTCAAATCTCCCTTGCACCCCCCTTCTTCTCGGAATAAAATAAAATGAAAATAAGAAATGATGGGGGTCCTGGGAATAGCATAGGGTGGTGGGTAAAAACGAGCCCTCAGGACTAATCCTCTCTTCAGTTTACTGCTTGTTAGTCAACCGAGCTCAATTCCTCTTGGAAGAGTCTTACTCTAGCACACGGCACAATGTGAATTGGACGCGCGCTACCCTTTGCGAGCTCATTGCTACACGGATTCTCCGGCGGTTGGGTGAAGACCACGAGGGTCCCGAAGGTCTTCTGCTGCTTGCCAATGTTCTCGTCGCTGGGTTTGAGCCGTTTCAGAACGCCCCCGATCATATCCGGGAAGAGGCTGAGGTCAAGACGGCATGGACCTATCACCGCACACTGCCGTCTCTCGAGGTTGCCATCTTGACCGAGAGCAAGCACTTCCTCAGCTCAAGCACCTGCCACCGCATCATAAACGCCATTTACGAAGGCCGCATCATCTACACTCCGTCGACCTTTTGGGACATCATACCGGATCACTACAAATTGAAGCCGATATCCTTGTATGACCCGCGGAAGTCACCATTGCTGAATCAGTATCGCCTGATTGTGCCGCGGAACCGAAATATCCTTGAATCGATACAGTTTGCCATTCTCCTCGCCTTGTACCTTGGTGTTATGCTTGAAAGAGAGAGGAACAGACTTACCGTGCTGGAGGCCGCCTTTGATATCTATGCGTTTGGCTGGGGATTGGATCAGTTTGCTACCATTTTGGCGCACGGATGGTACGTATAATTTCTCCGAGGGCAATTTCACCTGTACGGCTCACTGCCTTGGTTTGCTGACAAGTCTATACTATAGGGGCGTCTATACCCAAAATCTGTGGTCTTTCTTGGACGTTGGGTTCATTTGCATTTACTCAATCTACGTGATGCTTCGACTACATGGCTGGCGCGTAGGCCAGTTGGGACCGGGAGAACAAGCCTTCGATGTGCTCGCACTTGCGGCTCCCATGTTGGTACCTCGATTGGCATTCACCCTACTTTCCGAGAACCTTGTCCTACTGTGTTTAAGATCAATGATGGCAGACTTTTTCTTCCTCACTGCATTATCGGCCTGGTGTTTTTTTGGGTTTCTTCTCAGTCTCCTGTGGCTGGGCGAAGGAGCGCATCCTATTGTGTAAGTTTGTGTGTGCGTATTGCATCACGCTTCATTGCTAAGTTTCAATGCGTACGTAGAACGATATCGAAATGGATGATTTATATTTGGTTTGGACTGGACGGTACCGGCATTCAGCGATCAGTGAGTCTCCAATCACCACAACTGTCAAAATCGAATGACTAACTTGGCAAGACTGAATTCCACTGGCTCCTTGGCCCAAGTCTGATGGTGGCGTTCGCATTTCTCGGCAACACACTCTTTCTCACGATTCTCGTGTCCATGCTCTCAAACACCTTTAGTAATATTTCAGCCAACGCAACGTCAGAAATTCAGTTCCGCCGAGCTGTCCTAACCCTTGAAGGAGTCAAAGCCGATGCCGTCTTTGCATATCAGCCTCCTTTCAATCTCCTGGCGGTCTTCTTCCTTCTACCACTCAAGTTTGTCGTCAGCCCCCGCTGGTTTCACAAGATACACGTCGCCACTGTTCGCCTTGTCAACCTCCCTCTGCTCCTCATTATTGCTGTAGCTGAGCGCCGAATCATATGGACGTCCAAAGCCGTAAACCGCACCATATACCCCCGCGCAAAGAAATGGTTTTGGCAAAAATGGCAGCTCTCCGCCCATCGCTATCTTCGCGCCGTGTTCCAAGTCACGCCCCCGGAAGACGCGCATCCAGAAATTGCAGCGGACGACCATTTAACACAACACCTTATCCGACGCCAGTTTACGAGACAAACGACGGCGGAGGGAGTAGTGCCTCAGGTTCGGAAACCATCGCGTAGGGACTCTATGTTTCCGGATAAATTGAGGGGCTCGTTCAACGGAGACACTATGAACGTGGAGGCTAGGTTGGAGTCTATGGAGAAGTCGATGCAGAAAATGGAGCTGCTGCTTTCGAAATTGGTTTCGGTCGACGATGAGGTCATCACTGATACTTCAGAGGATGATGAACTAGGAGAGGGTAGTACCTTGAGAGAGCCGACCGAGGGATTTACCACGGAGTCATCGTTTGCTGGGCAACAATAGGCACATTCATCCATCCATGTTAGCGAGGCGTTTTGTGTGATTCACTACCATAGCATTTGCCAGCTGTCAATGAATTTGTGGCCATGCAACCGCAGTTCCCTTGTTTTTTTCTCTTCTTTCTCCTTTTTACAGCTTTTTGCACTTTTGTTCTCCTTCCTTCAATCCGTAAAGCTGAACCTAGACCGATCCCCTAAATCGTCTTGTGCAGAAGGACCGAAAATGTGCACAGTAACCTATTTCCATAACAAAACCTGCCTCCACACATGGGCTATCATCACGAATGGCTGCGGCCCCCTCATGGGATTCTCAACTTGTCCGTCGTTCGTGTGCGGTGCTGGAGCTACCAAGGAGAGGCCGAGATTTTACAACACCGTCACGAGGGCGTGTCCGCGTTGTAATGAGGCGCTGGGCATCCCATATGATCGGAACTTGATACGGGTGGTGGAAAGTATGGGATGGGGTTTGAAGATTGGCGCGGGCCCGGACGAGGATGACTGGGGAGTCGATTTGAGGGGCACAGGGTGTAGATGTGTTGTTTTGTGAAAGTCGCAAGATGGCTGGTGGGCTGGGCTTTTGTACGTTGGATGTGGGGGGGAAGGGAGTTCGTGATGCCCCTCCAAGTTTTCAACATGGAGCGTTGTTCGTCGTACACTGAAGAACCGAGCTTTTCACACGTCTAGCTTTACAAGCAGGATATTATACCCAATCAAGTCACAGCTCATTAAATCTCTTTCTCTCTTGTTTATTTTCCCAACAACCCAAGTAAAACCCCTAAATCGTTCATTATTGACGCCCTCACGGCCCCCCTCCACCAACACCCCGCCGCTCAAGATGCTTCCAACGCCAGATACATCCCACGTGCCGTACTCGCGCGTGTACGAACCGGCCGAAGACTCCTTCCTCCTCCTGGACACGCTCTCTTCCCCTTCGGAAACGGCCTTTCTCCAAACGGCCTTCCCGTCGTCGTCGCCCGCGCCGCTGGTCCTCGAGATTGGCACCGGCTCCGGCATCGTCGTCGCCTTTCTCAACGCCCACGCGCGCACGCTCTTCGGCCACCGCCACCTGCTCGCCTGCGGCGTCGACATGAATGCCTTTGCCTGTCGGGCCACTGTGCAGACCGTCCTCACGGCGGCGGCTGCCCACGCCGACTCGCACGGCATGTACCTGGGCTCGTGGACGGGGGACCTCGCGAGCGCGCTGCGGCCGCACGAGGTGGATGTGCTGGTGTTTAACCCGCCGTATGTGCCGACGCCGGAGATGCCCGTGCGGCCGGGGACGTTTGCGGACGACGACGGCGGGGAGCCGAGCTGGGACGACGAGAGCTACTTGCTGAGCCTGTCGTACGCGGGGGGCAGGGACGGCATGGAGACGACGGAGAGGCTGGTTGGGATGCTGCCGGGGGTCTTGTCGGCGAGGGGGTGCGCGTACTTGTTGCTGTGTAGGCAGAACCGGCCCGAGGAGGTGGCGAGGAGGATTGGCGAGCTCGAGGGGTCCTGGAGGGTTGAGGTTGTTGGGAGCAGTGGCAAGACGGCGGGGTGGGAGAAGCTGTGTGTTTTGAGGATATGGAGAGGCTGATGGGGGCTGGGAGTGCTGGACTTGGGGCGTGATGACGAGATGCTAGTGGGATTGAGGCGAGGTCTTTGGATATACCATGGTGGAAGGGCGAGGGAGACTTGTACACGTTTGCTGGTCTAACTTTTTCCGAGGAAAAGGGCCTGTCTACTTGGTTGGCGCGGGCACGTCTGTATAGCTATAGCGTAGAGACAAACATGACGTGTTGGGCAAGGCAAAATGAAGGCATGTCTGAATTGTTTTATTTAGTGGTGACCAAACATCCCATAACGCCAATACCATCGAATGTGCGTCCATAATCGTGATGAAATAACTTCCACAAGTCACCTGCGCTATTCCACCCCGCCATTCATTTTTTTTTTTTGCCCAGCTAGCCACCTTTATACATCAACAATCCGTTGGTCGTTACTGTCTTCAAGCCGAATTTTTCGCCCCGCGCGGATTTGAAAAATCCTCCGCCATTCATCAATACCGTTGGTGGATTCGCTGGCATCAGGAAACGCTTGCACAGTCGTCTTATCCGAATTTCAGTCTCCTCCAGTCCGGAGGCACTTAACCTCTTCCACGACCGCGTCCACGCCCTCGTCCTCTAGGGCCTCCTCTGCCTCCACGGCCGGCGCGTCCGGCCCGCTCGGCCTCCTTGCGTGCCTTGTTCTTGGGCTTGGGTGCGTCGTCAATTAATAGCGTATCGAGGGGCAAAGAGTCGGGGAGAATGAAGTATCGGATTGTGGAGCCTCGAATGTTCATGGTGTCGAGGGAGATGGGATCTTGGCCTCTGGGGGTCATCTTGACGGTGCGCAGGGCCGTGTTCATCTGCGGTGAGACGGAAGAGATGGTGCCGTGGACGATGGTGCCTGAGGGGGGGGGAGGGGGGAGGTCAGCTATGCGCTTTTTGCTCATTGTTCAACCTAGACGGAAAGTCTTCGTCTCGGGCGTTCAAGCGTATTGGCGAGGAGGAGGGTGTATCGTACCATTTTTCAACTCAATCGTCACCGTCTCGTTGGCGCACTTCATCAAGAACCTAGGTCGCGAAACAATCAGCATCGACGTGCGGCCGATTGGAAGCAAAAAAAAAAAACAACGCGACTTCTCTCAAATTTGATGCATAATTCAATATGTACTTACCGAACGAGCTTCATGTTGGGCAGTGATAAGGTGCGGGAGGCAATGTCGAATCAAGGTTGTCGTCGTCGGTGTCCCGCTTGATGCAGTTGCCGCACGCCTCACACAATGTCTCCCTCAGCCTGGTCGAAGCTTTGGCTTGGCAAGGCAAAAAAAAAGCTAGGCCGGAAAAACACGACCGCCAGAAGCTGGGGGCACGTGACTTCGAGATTGGCTCGCCTCGTTTGTTGGCACGGGGCGCGTAGTGGGCGCCTCGGGTCACGGGTGGACAAGTTCCTATCGATAAGACCCGGGGTTAAGCCACCAGGGCGTTGTCCCTCCATTGTCGACGATGAAGACCAAACGGTTCCCTGTACTCTTCTTTTTACATCGTGGCGCTCACGTTCATTTTCTGCATCTTCTGTCGCATTTAGTATTACCTGTCAGCCACCATACCGCGGGCAAGGGGCTGTATTTACAACTGGACAAGCTTTCTTTGCGCATTCGACTACTCTCTCCGGCACATGCCATCCTGAGCTCCTCATCTGGCTTCACTTGCCCCACCAGTCTGCTGCGTTCTTCACGGCCGTTTCGATTTGCACCCTAGGTCGGCGGAAGTTGAGGAAGGGTTCGAGAAGAGTATATGCCATCATGATATCTGGGCGAGGTGGTGCGGGAGCGCGGGCTGGCCGCATCCGCCCGCCTCGTCGCATTGTTCGTGTAAGTTGCCATCTGGTTTAATCACAACGCCAATGAACTGTCCAACATTACAATGCTTGTATTTTCCAAACGGAAGATCTTAAAGCCTCTCTCATCTCAGAGTGGTATTTGCAAAAACTTCTCCTTCACCATTGTCAATATGACCTGAAGCAGTTGAGAGACACTTCTTTGGCTGTTGAAGTCTCCGAAGAAGAAGCACGCATGCACCTGGCAGATGCACCAGTTTGATAACCCTGCAACAACGCCGAAAAAAAAAATATTATGGCTAACAAAATACTCTTCGCAGCCGAATGCCGCAGGGGAAGATGGAGATTTTGAAAACTGTTGGAACATGCTCAAGGAAGCTCTGCGAGATATTCATAACAAAAGTTGCGGCCGACTCTCATTCGAGGAGCTTTATCGGGCCGCTTACAAGATTGTCTTGAAAAAAAAGGGCGGGGTTCTTTATGAGAGAGTCAAGCAGTTCGAGGAACAATGGTTCGCCGAACATGTCATCCCCAAGATTGAGGTATTGGTGACCAAAAGCTTGATCAATGTCGGCATCGATAGGAACTTGGCTAGCTCGGTGAATGAACGTCGCCAGACGGGCGAAAAGTTCCTCAAGGGACTGCGGGATACCTGGGAGGATCACAACATGTCGATGAACATGACGGCGGATATTCTCATGTACCTGGACAGAGGGTACACACAACAAGAGCCAAATCGAGTACCGATATTCGCAACTACTATAGCTCTTTTCCGAGACCACATCCTGCGATCCTGTCTCAACACCAATTCGACTAATTGTGTCATTGATATTCTTATTTCTGTTATTCTGGATCAGATCGACATGGAAAGGGAAGGCGACGTCATTGACAGGACTCTAATACGTAGCTGCAGTCGGATGCTCAGTTGTCTCTACGAGGGCGAGGATGAGAATGAAAGTAGCAAGCTCTATCTCACGGTGTTTGAGCCTCGATTCTTGAGCAACAGCGAATCATTCTATGCTGCCGAGTGCCAGCGCCTTCTTCGAGAATCCGACTCTAGTACGTGGCTGCGGCATACCCAGCGGCGTTTGCACGAGGAGGTAGACAGGTGTGGCACGACAATCGAGCTGGAGACATTGCCCAAAGTTTCGGCAGTAATCGAGGAACAACTCATTGCCAAGCATTTGTCAGAATTCATCGCCCTCGAAGGCAGTGGGTTGAAGTGGATGATTGATAATGACAAGATCAGCGACCTATCGATATTATACAGATTAATTTCCAGGGTAGATGACAAGAAGGTGGCTGTTCGAGACATCTTACAAAAGCGTGTTGTCGAGCTAGGCCTCGAGATCGAAACCGCCCTGCGAAATACCGACTTTTCAACGGCCCAGGCTGATGGAGACGAGCCCGCAGAGGGGGACAAGACCAAAGCGCTCAACCCTGCTGCACAACAAACTGCCGCTGCCGTCAAATGGGTTGACGATGTGCTACGCCTCAAGGATAAGTTTGATAACTTGTTGGTGCAATGTTTCCAGGACGATCTTATTATCCAGACTTGCCTCACTAAAAGTTTCTCTGACTTTATCAACATGTTCGCCCGGAGTTCCGAGTATGTGTCACTCTTTATCGACGACAATCTGAAACGAGGTATCAGAGGCAAGACTGAGGCTGAAGTGGACGTTGTCCTGGACAAGGCCATCGTCCTGATTCGATACCTTCTCGATAGGGACATGTTTCAGACGTACTATCAGAGACACCTGGCTCGCAGACTACTTCATGGCAAGTCTGAAAGTCACGATGTGGAGAAGCAAATCATATCTCGCATGAAGCAGGAATTGGGGCAGCAGTTTACCAGCAAATTTGAAGGCATGTTCCGGGATCTTGTGACGTCCTCGGAGCTCACAACAACATATCGGGACCACATCCGCAACGTCAGCGATGGCGAAAAGGTCATCGACTTGAATGTCAGCGTGCTCACCACCAACTACTGGCCACAGGAAGTCATGGGTCGGCAGGCTTCCATCGGCGACGGCTCCCGCATCACTTGCAACTACCCGCACGAAGTTCAGAGGATGCAGGCCAGCTTCGAGCAGTTCTACCTCAGCAGCAGGAACGGGAGGAAACTCACATGGATCGGCACAACTGGCAGTGCTGATATCAAATGCATATTTCCCGCAATCCCTGGAAAGTCTGGCGCGTTGGCCAGGGAGAGGCGGTATGAAATCAATGTACCCACGTTTGCCATGGTTGTGTTGATGCTGTTCAACGACCTCCAAGATGGTGAGAGCCTCTCCTTTGAAGAGATCCAGGCCAAGACCAGCATCTCCACGTCAGACCTTATGAGGACATTGACAGCCATTGCAGTGGCGCCAAAGTCTCGAGTGTTGGCCAAGGATCCCCTCACCAAATCCGTCAAACCCGGCGACAAATTTGCCTTCAACTCCAGTTTCCAAAGTAAGACGGTACGCATCAAGGCACCAATAATCAACGCAGTGTCCAAGGTCGAGGACTCGCAGGAGAGAAAGACTACAGAAGAGAAGAATAACCAGACGAGGGCCCATATTGTGGATGCTGCAATCGTGAGAATCATGAAGTATGTTCCGGGCTCGCCTCAGTCTTGTGTAGTATCCACAGCGCCGCTAACTTTTTTTTTCAAGATCTCGAAAAGAACTCAGCCACTCGCAGCTAGTTAGTGAGGTTCTCTCACAACTTGTCGGCCGATTCAAGCCCGAGGTGTCTCTCATCAAGAAGCGGATCGAGGATTTGATTGGGCGGGAATACCTGGAGCGACCGGACGAAGAAGGGGCGCCGTCAATGTACCGCTACGTGGCATGAGTGGTTGTCTCTCACGAAGTCATGAACATTTGTAACGGCGCAGAACGGGTTTGGGGGATTCCGTAGCACAATTGGAGATTCTTGCATCGCGGGAGGTTTTGGGTTGCATGGCAAGGCGATGGAAGGATTACTCACATCTCTGTTATTAGCGGCTGCTGCTGGTTTACAAAGTTAGATGCCATGTTACTAGATGCATACTATTGCCATTATCGTGCCGAAATTTGTGTGCTGTGTCGGTGCCAGACGTACAACTACGGGCACGTATATGTACTTATATGTAGGCACCTGATAGGTAGCGTACAGCTCGGCGGCGTGCGTGCAACTTGGTTACTCGCCGTGTTACCAATGGCCCTCGCGGTATTCCCAGATAGTTTCAAGTACGCCGACAATTCACACTTAGAAACAAGAGACTCCTTCAAATCCTAGGCATTCCATGCCCCCAGTGCCAATCCATATCCCGGGCATGCCTCACACCTTCTCCCCACCGGCCTCCAGAAAGCCGGAACCCCAGCCGAGGAACAACCAAGGTTGAGCTCCGACTCTCGGCCACCAAGCTTCATCCATCAACCTCCAAAAAAAAAGCGTCACAAAACTCACTGCACGCCCTTGCCTCCATAATCAACACCGTGCATCTCTCCCATAAACCGAGCATTCGCTCCTCATCCTCCCTATACTCGCCATGTTCGTCCTCAGAAGGACAATGGCCACCATGGCCGCGCAGTCGCCCCTCAAGCAGGCAGGCAAAGTAGTCTGCATCGGCCGCAACTACGCGTACGAACTTGCCGCCCCCCGACCCCCAAGCCGACTCTGGCATTCATTCATTCACTCACCCATTCGCACATCCGCGAACCCCTAGACAGAACGTGCAGCTGACCCATCCGCAGGGACCACATCGCCGAGCTGAAGAACATGAAGCCCAAGCAGCCATTCTTCTTCCTCAAGCCGCCGTCGTCCATCGTCCTGCCCGGCGAGGGGCCGTGCCTGCAGCCAAGAGGCGTCAAGATGCACTTCGAGGTCGAGCTAGCCCTCGTAATAGGCAAGATTGTGCGGGATCTCCGCGCCGACGACAGACAGGGCGCTCTGGAAGCCATCAAGGGTAGGGTGCACTCTTCCCCCCCCGATTTGGCTTTGTGAACATTCGCGTCGCCGCGCACAGAGTGGGACGTGTGCTAAGTGAACGTGAATAGCGTACGCCGTCGCCATCGACATGACGGCCCGCAACGTCCAGGACGAGGCTAAGAGGAAGGGCCTGCCGTGGGACATTGCCAAGGGCTTCGACACGTTTCTCCCCATGAGCAACGTGATTCCCAAGACGGCCATTGGCGACCCGCAGGACGTGGAGCTGTTCCTGGAGGTGAATGGCGAGACGAGGCAGAAGGGCTCTACGGGGTTGATGATTTACCAGATCCCCCGGATTATGAGCGACATCTCCAGGGTCATGACGCTGCAGCCTGGCGATATCGTGCTGACGGGGACGCCGGCGGGCGTCGGGCCCGTTGTGCCGGGGGATGTCATGAGGGCCGGCGTGAGGGTCGGCGGGAGGGAGGTGGAGGAGGGCAAGATGGAGGTCAGGGTTGAGCAGTCGCCTTCTTCGTACGTGTTTGCTGAGACATGAGTTGAGACTTGGGCCAGGGCTGCATGGACGGTGGTGTATTAGCGGCGGGGGCTATGTACGTTGACGGAATGAGCAAGGAAACTAAATGACATAGATTTATTATTATCTTTGTATTGTATAGTAAAGAGTGCCTTCATTTATCCAAACTCGATTCATCTACCGCCTACTCCGTATCCAACAACGCTAATTTCTCATGCTCATATTTCGTCACTCCTAGTAGGTAGGCCTACTCATTCATCATCACGACCTTTGTCCCGCCCCTTAGACGGCAAGATTAGGATCCGGTATGGAGCCCGGCTTCGGAGCCCAGTCCGCCAACTGTCCACACTCACCACATCGCCTCTTTGCCTCATCGTTCTTAAAGTCCTCAACTGCCTGCTTGATCTGCGTCCCCAGGTCGGTACAGTGAAAGGCAGCTTCGTGGACTACAACACCGCCGTCGCAAGATGCGCAGTACCATCGCATGCGGTCGATGGACTCTACGGGGCGGCGCTGCTCGAGAACAACGCCCACTGTGTTGGCGAAGCGCACCGGGTTGTGAGGGGTATTGGGTGGCAGCAGAAACATATCACCCTCGCGGATGATGATGTCTCGGAAGGTGCCGCCGTCGACGACTTTGAGCATCATTGCGCCGCGGTATTGGTAAAACCACTCTGGGGTCTGGTTGATGTGGTAATCAGTGCGAGCGTTGGGGCCGCCAACAATCTGTAAAGTATGAGTATGCAAGCAAGCACGACACGAAGAGGTGTAAAGGGCCAAAAAAAAAAAAAAAAACTCACCATGACGGTGAAATCATCGTTGTAGACGCAGTAGTTGTTGATTGGTGGCTGGAGCATATGCGAGTTTTCCTCTAGCCTTGACATTTAAAAACCGCTGTTAGCATCCTGTAATGCGAAACGGCTGCCTGTTGGGGAACACAAGAAATGAGCCGACTGAGGCATAAGTGAGTTGACTCACCACTTGGGCAGGTTCACGGGAGGGCCCAGCATGTTGACCGCCCGGGCGAATAATAGCTCTATTCTATGCAGTCGCGGGATTGCGATTAAAAAGAACCACCAGAGATCGTTGCTGTTGTTGAGTTGCTCTGCTACGTGCTTTGAGAGAAAAACTGGCTCCGGTGGTTGAGAGTCGAGAGTCGAGACGTTGCCGCGTTTGTAAGCCAAAAGCGAGTCTGGCATCAGGCGCTCGGGTTTAGTCGGTCGTGCACACACCTCGCCCCCGGCTTTGCAATGCGACTTGTATTTGAGATGATCAACATTCGACAGCAGATTGGACCAAGTTATGGAACAGCTGATTATTCGCATAAGGCGCAGCATGCAAAGTCCAATCGTGTGTTGCACCCGAGAGCCGTTGCGCAGCATGCCGTACATATGTGCTCCTCATGCATCAAGGGTCGTTGGTTGACGGGTCCGGCCATATTGCTCAGTTGGACAAGGCAAACACCGACACATCCGGCTTGACGGCACGCAGCCACAGAGTCGGCAAAGTTTATCGTGGAGACAAAACCGTGGGACGTGAAGCAATGCACTCCGATTGTTGGCCAATGATGAAAAGAAATACAGCGTAGAATGAAAGGAGATTCCAAGCAATTGCTGTTGCACCATGTTGCATAACTCGGGGTCGTTGACGCCATTAGCGCGGCGCACCTGCCATTTGCTGGGACTGCCACTCGCCAGCGGGCAGGCAGGAGCTACCCGCCGCACCGTGAGTGCCGTGACTGGCTGCTGTGAAACCATCCTTGATCCGCGAGTGAACATGTGGCCACCCTGTCGCAGGTGACCAGTCTCCAACGCAGTACGCCGTACAACCAGCAAGCCATGCAGATAACGTGCTCAATATAGCTCCCTCTCTGTTCAACAAGTCGATAAACTTCGGCCACAGTCCTCCTTTCTTCCCCAAATCACCATCCTCCGCTCTTTGTCCAGCCCTTTCAACACCGACTCCTTTCCGTCGCTGGCAAACCCCACGAAGCTCAAGTCCTCTGTGCATGTGCTCCCTACAGCCCTTTGAACGTTGAAACACGAGATTGCGACATCCCTTCCCCCTAGTCTTTTTTCGCCGACATCATCGGCCAGACCCCAACATTCACCATCATGAACCACGCAGGCATGGATCACGGCGATATGGACCACGGCGACCACGGCGGCATGGAAGACATGTGCAGCATGAGCGTATGTTGCAACCCCTTCGCCTCGCCGTCTGCTTGCCTAACTGTTCATAGATGCTCTTCACATGGGACACCACCAACCTGTGCATCGTATTTCGCCAGTGGCACATTCGCTCAACGCCAGGCCTCATATTCTCCCTAGCCGCCGTCGTCCTTCTCGCCATGGGCTACGAAGCGCTGCGTGCCCTGTCACGACGGTTCGAAGCAAGTGTCGACAGACGCATGTCCGCCCTGCCTCGTAAGTTTCACTCGCATCTTTGCTCTCCCCCCCCCTCCCTTTCTCCCAATGCGGATACATATCCCGGAGCTCTTCAACCTCATTGCGTCATATTTCCCCCATGCCCATGGGATCTGTGCCAATGCTAAGACTTGTGTGATGCCTCGAGGCGATGAACAAGATGCTGAGATCACACCCTTACTCGCGCCAGGATCCAGCCATCCGGACATTGGCAAGCAAGGGCACCTCATCAAGGCTGTTTTCTACGGTGTCCAGACTTTCTACGCATTCATGCTCATGTAAGTTTGATGTTTTGCCTGCTATCTTGGCGCGTAAATCAATGCGCTGACGAGCAACTTGTGCGCAGGCTCGTTTTCATGACATACAATGGCTGGGTAATGCTTGCAGTGTCGCTGGGTGCCTTTCTGGGCTATCTGTTCTTTGGTCACTGCACATCTGCCACCAAGGACAACGCATGCCACTGAGAGGCAACGTCAAGCCTATACATCTTCTCTCTCTCCACGTACACCGTTCAAATGAAGAATTCCAACGGCCCAGATATTCCTCAGATACCAACAGTTCAGCGAAGCAGTTAGTCATATTTACGCACACTAATAAATGAACAAAAAAATATTTCTAAATTATACGCTACATTGATCCGCCCAGCATTCATTCCTCTTCATGTGTACGAGCCCCCCACGGCCATCTCATCTATACTTTGATCCTTGATCACATCTTGGCCGGCTCGTTGGTGCCCTTCTTCGCCTCGCCCACCTCGTTGAAGACGCCCTCCTCTTCCGCCCTCAGAATAATGTCATAATCGCCATACGTATCATTATGCTCAATCTCGGGGTCCTCCCCGTACGCAATCCTAGCCGCATCCACCAGCAGCCTCCCCGTCATGCCCCATACCTTGAACCTCCCCTCCTGCTCCTGCTGCGCCTCGAGCGCCTCGCCCATGTTGCCGTGCGCGCTCGCCCTCCTCGGCTTCGCGACCCGCTGGTTGTTGACGGGCACGTAGAAGTTGTGTACCCGCCACGGCAAGTCCTTCCACGACATCCACGCGCCGTCGTACCACGTCCCGGGGGGCAGCTCCTGCCCCGGCCGGGGCGGCAAGTCGTGCGCCTTGAGGAAGTTGTAGAACGGGGCGCTAAACACGGCGGCGACCTCGCGCGCGTCCAGCCTCGGGATCAGGGACTCCTCGACCAGCGGGCCAGGCGAGCCGGGGTGCGCCCTGTCGTCGGCGTGGAGAAAGGCGACGCACGGCGTGACGACGAGGTGCGTCCTCGCCAGCGAGGGGGGCAGGCTGCACAGCGGCTCTATGCGGAACGGCCTGGGCAGGCGGAGGTCATCCATCGGCAGGCCGATCTCCTCAAAGGCCTCCCGGCGCGCGATTTGGTCTATGTACCAGCCCCCGTGTCAACTGTTGCCGCTCTCCTGACACCAAGGGGGAAAGAAAAAGGGCGGGGGGCTATATTCATCCCCCCCCCTTTTTCTCCACCGCCCAGGACACAAGGGAATACAAGGCATTGTCTAGGGGGGAAAGGGAGGGGGAAAGGGCAATAGTACTTACAAGGTGTCTCTTCCAGGCTGTCGGCCTTGCCCCCCGGAAGCGCGGCATGGCCCGAGAAGCTCCTCAGGCTCGCGGCCCGCATGGTAATAACGACGCGCAAGTCGCCCCAGCGGTCCGCGTACAGCAGGACCAGGACGGCGGCGCGCTTCCGGGCAGGCAGGGCGTCCCATAGCGGCAGGGGAGGCGGCCTGTACGCCCGGAGGCGGTTGAGGGCAGCCTGGCCGAGGGGGTGAGCGAGGGCCATGACACAGGGATACATTTGGAAACATACCGAGGAGAAGGAATTCAGGCCGGCCATTGTAGATGCATCGTAGTACAAGGACTCTTCAAACGCGTCGACAAGGTCTGCGAGCAGGTGTGGCTGGTCGTTGTTGAGACGAGCGTCGAGGGCGGCCGCATCGGCGTGGTGCTGGTGGTTTGGCGCGAGCCCCGCAGCCGAGGCCCGTGTAAGCTGGTCCCGGAGATCGGCGACGTCACGGTCCGTCAGCGACAGTCCCGGCTTGTCCTGGTCGTCCTGGTCGTCCTGGTCGTCTTGGTCGGGCGGGTGATTGAACGAGTCGCACCAGTCGGCATCCGCATCCGCATCGGCGCCCGCGGCTGGGGTGCTGAGCGGTGGTGGTGTTCCTGTGCAGGTTGGTGGTGACGATGGATTGACCGTGGTGGGATTCTGGTCGCTGGCCGTTACCGGCATGCTTGGTGGTGGCGGACTGGACTGAAAAACCTTGGAGGATGAAAGGTGCAAGTGACGGCTGCCGGGATGAAGTTGGTTGGTGATTGGTCGTGCCGATGTTCGGTAGGGTTGGGAGTTGGGGTGCCAAACGTTCATCCGGCCCGGCTGATGGGCGGTGCCAATGTACTAGTGCTGGTCGAGGCACAACTTCCAGATGTCAACTTGTGCCAGTCGCCGAGGCATTGAAACGGCCTACCTAAGCTACCTACTAAGTAGGGTGTCCCGTTAGCGGGACGGATGACACCTGGAAACTGCTAGGTAACTACTCCGTGCCTCTAAGTAGATAGTAGTTACCATCTCGGCAATCGCAATGCCCAACAATCTACTACTAGTGGCATCCTCACACCGCATTTCCATCTCCTCTACGAAATCATCTCACCATCCCCATTCGGCAATGGCCAATTCAGACGACCCCAAGTCAATGCATACATACTCGAGAGCATCCACGCGTCCCAAAACAAACGTAGCATCTGCGTGCTCCCACCCCCATGTAACCGCTCCCCCGCCTCAGCTATTACGGATTCTTGTGGCATTGCGGGGAGATCAAGGCCAGGAAAAACAGCCTTCTGTGGCGGCGGGGCTTCCCATCCTTTCCCCAACGTCACGCACATGTCATGATGTGACCATGGAACGACACCCAATTGCTTCACGGGACTTGACGATATTTGCCTCGCACATGTCTTTCAAATCCATCTATTTTCAGACCCCAAAAATCATCATAGCTGGTCTAGGAAATGATAGCCATTAGAAAACTTTCTACCCCCAAGTGACATGAGCGAGAGAGCAGAGGAAAGTCAATTAAACACCCAATATATGCCATGCACTCAAACTCCCGAAATCTAGACCGTCTCTAAATCCATTTCGTTGGAATCCTTGCCGTGGGGGAATAAAAAAAATGAAGTGCTGAAGATGAAAGCAAGCATGCTCTGTCCTGTACCATTCGCCAGCACCGTGTATCCGTTCCATCATGCGTCTAATGGGAAAACCTTTAGTGATGAATATTGCCCAACATAATCGATTCCGGAACGACCTTCATTTGCAGTTTCATCTGTTCTCGTCGCTTCGCCGCCTTCTCCACCAAGATTTGTTTATGTCTGTCAGACGGCCGGGTGATTGATTCGCGCATCTGATCCTGCTTGAGGCCCGTGAATTGACCATCTGACCCAATACGAGAGGTACTTGATGTGCGTCTATGAAACTTGCTATCCTCAGAGGTTCGGCTGGCAAACCAGTCTTTAAGGTTGGACATGACGTGGCCGTCATCACCATCATCATTATCGTCATCAGAGTCGCTATCCCATGCGCTCATCAGAGGCGGGGCGGGACTCGGTCTGGGGGGTGGTGCTGTGACCAAGGCATGTATTGGTGTAGAGGGTGCTGAGCGTGAGAGCGAAGTTGCACTGATCCTGGATGTGCCATGGGCATTCGGTGATAGGGATTGCGATGCAGATTCCTCCTGGTGCTTCGGCTGCTGAGATCCTTTGAACAAGCTCTTTTGTTTGGTTTTGGTCGCGACAGTGTCAATAGGCTGAGGGGGTTCTCGGCGGCGGAATCGCGAAGCAGCCGCAAATGCGAGACTCAATGATGACCTCTTCTTCTTGCTTGGTGCAGGAAGCTGCAAAGAACTGTCGCTTAGTTGGCAAGAATTTCTGCTTGCAAGCTGAGCCGTAAACTCGTGATACTCTCCTGCAGCAGCATAGTCGCTGAATTGACCATAGGCCGGGTCCCACGGGCGGACTGAGCCCTCATCCAAGTGCATCTGGGCAAACGAGCCGCTCAAACTTCCAAACTGCTTCTCACTTCCGTCACGCATTGGTTGTTTGTGAATGCTCAGCGGTGGCGGCATAATAGACAGGTCGGGAGACATGGGACCCCATGAGCTTCCCCTGCTAGAGGACTCATCTACATCGGTCTCCAACACCGGCACCAGGTGATAGTCTGGAGTCTCGTAGGTCACTGGCTCGTCCAATCTCACCCCCGAACCTGTAGAAGACGAGTCTGAGTCCGCGCCTCCCGAACGGAAGGATTGCTCATCCATTACATCCACGTCCATACCAGTGAGCTGGTAAATCTTCTGCTGCGAAGAGCGACGAGACCACGTTGATGCCGTAATGCTGTTCCTATGAAAGTGACCAGACTGGGGTGAAGATGAGACGATCACCGAGGGGAGTCGCCGCGGCGCAGAGCTAGGCATTTCTGCCCGAGTATCGTTTCTCCGGTTAATAGGAAACGATCCTTGAAAGGCAAAGGCTGGCAATGACGCCGGCGCGGTCGCGGAGCTCTTTCCACGAGGCTGAGGGGTCATGGCTCTCGGGATAGAGGATGGTGATGTAGAAGGAAGAGGTGGTAGTGGTCTGTTTGCGTATGCCTGCATGTTGGCGGGTGTCGAAGCGCTGTACTTATGACCACGACGGAATTGGCGGTTCTGAGGCTGTTCTGGCGGAGTAAGTTGGTTCATGATGTGGTTTTGAGAGGTCGGTCTCTGCCCCCTGTATTTGAAACGGCAACAAGTACAGGCTTCAATGGGCTATTGTCGTGGTCGCCTGTGAATCAGGCTTCGACTTGATTGACGTGCGGGCGACAATAGGAAGAAAAGGCCGGCAGGCGCTACACCTGCTGATAGAGTGGCTGATACTATGCCGCTCAAACAATAGCCTGAAATGCTGAAAGAAGAATGAGCAAGAGCGGATCCCCTCGATTCATGTCCCGACCATATGAAAGCACGAAGCCCCGTGGTCGGCTAAGATAATCAGTCTCGGCCTTCTTTGTTGTGATGCTCGAAAAGCCCGGCCAGGCGTTGTCCAAATGCGTCAACTGCCGAGTTATCGCGTGTGATGACGGGGTGTTGGTGGCAGCCAATGCCCAAGTCTTATGCTAGGATAAACTACTAATATACCCGGTCAAAAGTGATTATGCAACGGAAGGGCGACAAGATGCGGCGACGGAGGTCAAAGGGCCAGACACACAAAAAAAAAGAAAGAAGAATCACCAAGATCTTTGGGGGGAAATAAGAGGCGGCGCTTTAATCAAGTACATACACAAGGCTTGTTGGTTTTTGTTCCGGGGTGTGTGTCCCCTCTGGTCTTTTGGCCCTCCTCTTGGATCCTCTTTTGCACAATTGCTGCGATGGTCGACATGGTCCGGGCAATCCATGTTTGCCCCATCTTCCCATCTTTGCCATGTTGCCATGGGCCATCTGCCCTCCCATGTCTCCCGGTTGCGGGTGCATGCGACTGTAACAGAGCACGGAGTACCGAGAGTGCATGCAAAGAAGGTCAAGTTCAGTGCAGCACCCCGTACCCCGTACAGAAGACGACGATGGAAGCGCAGCCACTCGCCTGGTGGTGTGGGCAGCCGGCCTGCGAATGGCCGACGACTTTGTTGGCGCATGTATCGCAGGATTGTTGTTAGAGAATGAGCGCGACACCATAAGCCATCTCTGATGGACGGATCCTTGCCATGCCCCAGTCCTGCCATCTGGACCTTCCCAATTGTGTCATCCGCCCACCCAGGCGTGGAAAGCCGCCCCCCGCGCATGCCATATTCATGTTCCTTCATGCCCTTGGTATCCTGCCCTGCCGACAATCAATATCAGCAGGAGTACTCCGTACGGAGTACCCCGTATTACTTCATACAGTACTTAAGTACATCGGTACATGGCACTCCTTACTGCGTCATTTCACTCCTTGCTGGCACTATGTACCCCGTTAGCCCTTGCCAAGCCAACATTGAACGTCAACCCCATGTCCTGGACCACCGTCTCCACTGCAAACAGGGCTGCTGCCACCTCCCGATAATATTTCATCCTCAGTTGGTTGCTCCTGCCTCTTCCTGGCAGCATTGCACTTGACAACATTTGGGGCATCCTCTGGCACAGCCAGCCAGCCAAGGCCAGCCACACACCCACTCCTCCAACTCTCCAACTTTCAAGTTAAACCTCCCACAAGTCAGTAATCCTTCCACACCGGCTTCCATCAGCCTCGACGTAACCGTCCGATGTAAGATGCATAATGCCAACTATGCGCATCGTCATCTGCGAATCCAACCGGCTCAGCAGCATAATCAATGTGGACACCTTGGCTGAGACCTTTTCCTACGACGTCGTTGTTCAAGATGCTGACCGCCCACTTTCTCACTCGCTCACTGTGTAGTCGTGAGACATGATAACCACTTGGCCCAGAAGATGGTCAGACTGTTTTCTAGAACCAACTCACCAGCGAGGCTTTATTACTGAGTAGTAGTAATGTGGCGTTGGCCGTTGAATGGCTGAAATGGCAGCCGGCGACGGATTCGCCATGCATTGAAAGCGTGAGCAGCATCACACTAAGCAGGCTAACCACCTTCGCCGCCGTTCCAGCCTAAATCCAACAAGGCCCGCTCCGCCTGAATCGTGCTATTGAGGCAACCTCGGCTTTACAACTATTTGCAATGCCTCAATCACCGGGCAAGACTGCTCGCTTGGCGGTGCGGATGGGCGAGTGTCGTGGACGCCTCGCTCATGCAACTTTCAATGTCAACGGTGGGCTCATTGAGAGTTGTGAGTAAGACTCACAACCTAACTGCGCTGTACGGGGCCCCCGAAGACCGAATGAGTCTGCAACTGAGACATTCAAGGCGTCGCTGGTCGCCTGACGACCCCTCAAAAAAGCCTCTGAGGAAGTACGGAGTATGTACGCGTCTCACAGACCTAGGGCGCATGATGCCGATTAATAACGGGCAAACGGATGAAGAGTAATGCTATACATGGCCGCAACGCGGAGGAACATTTGAAGATGCCTCCCGCTCAACAAACTTCTTCACCGACTTATTTTCTCGGTATACTTTGGTCCACGTGAAGAGCAGAGCGTTAACGACCGGGTAAGAACAACACACCATGGAGGCTGCCGCGGTACACTGTATCTATGCAAGCAAAACAATGATGAATACCGCCATCTCCGCAATACAGTGACCGAGCATAATGATGCCAGAACACGCCACCGCCCGGACTGGAACGGAAGACGGGAGGTAACAGGTGGCGTGGTGTTTTTGGGGGCGGAGAGATGTCCCAACTGCTCCGGGATGGGGTCACGCACGCTCTGGCACCAAGAACAAGCTTCAGCCCAGTGCGTTAACACAAACATTGTTCATGCGAATGCACGCCAAGCTGAAAGATGAATGAAGCGGTCAGTCAGATAAAGGCTAACTAGTACATCTTGTCTGGCGCTGGCGCTGGCGCTGGCGGCGGCGGCGGCTATTTCCGAGACGGGCAAAACACTTCCAAGCCTTGAAAAGCAAACTCGCTCAAACATCGGCTCCGGCTGGCAATAAGCCTTACGGAGTCTTAATGTGGTCCATCCATCTGTGTTCCGAATCCACATGCCTTCTCGCTTACCTGCCACATGCTTGATAATAAATTGACTGTCGGGGTCAATTCCCCCACTTTCCAAGAAGTGCTTGCTTGAAGATGACGCATATTGAGGCTGCCGCATTCAGGGTTCCGCGCTCTCCGTGAGTACACGCAGCATGCGTCGCCTGTCGGCCCCCAAACGGCGCTTGCTATTTCAGATGCCGATCCTAATTCCCGAGTGGTACGGTACACCAAATTCTATTAATATCGTAGATTATTTTCGCATAGAGCAAATAAGAAGAAACAAGGAAACGCGATTTTTTTTTTTTACAATCATCATAGTGACAAGCCTGATAAAAACGTGTCTGCACCGTAGCATAAGCATATGCGCATATGCGGCAGATGCAGTTCCTTGCCCGCAGGAACATGGACCTTGTCACGAATCGCGGATTCCAGCGGTATCCCTCCCACATTGGAGACATCTATGTATTACTCGTCATCGTCATCCTTGCCCTGGTAATCGCCTAACAAAATATCATCAATACCCAACCCGGTAGACGAATTCCTAATCCACTCGGTTTCCACCCGGAGGAATATCCACACCCATCGCCGAAACACCTCGAGAAACTCTATCAGAAAGATGCCGCTCTCAAAATCACTAAACTTGTCCAAATGAGGACTCAACTTCAAGGACCAAGTACACCTCAGCATCAGGTCCAGCACAATGACTGCGTAGTACATGATGACGGGGCGGAAGATGAGTCTGTCGCGAAGCCCCCAGGGGTGGTGGGACGAATTGCGCTCCCGCCTAGACGCGAAGAGCGTCATGTCCCAATCCTTGGCGACGTCCCAGTAAAACGAATACAGCGAGTTGACGAGCACGGCCACCAGCCAGGCCCTGTTGTACGCCGCCCTGGCCGCCGCATCGTCCGTGTTGCGCTGCAGCGCGCTCGCAACGAGGACAGGGAACGCGGTAGAGTACTTGAGGGCGTTGGCCAGATGCTGGCCTCCCCAGCCCGCCGACTCCTTGTACGGCGCCCGCCGAACGCGGAGGTACTCGATGATGCACTGCCGGAACCGTATGGCGCTGGGCACGCCCATCAACAAGGGCACCACGACGGTCCCGCCGCAGCTCCGATCCGGCCGCTTCGTGGACGACCCGCCGGCCGTGAAAAACATGCACAGCGTCACGAACACGTCGCCGCACACCTTGGCGTACGACGTCAGCACGTCGGCGAGCAGAATGTCGCCAAACTTGCCGTCCTGCGCCTCCGCGATGCCCCCTATGCTAACGCGCTTCAGCGTCGCGAGAAACCGCCTCCTCCCGCCGCTGGGCAGGTTCTTCAGCGGGACGAGGAAGACGGCGACGATGCCGGCGAGGTACGTCATGGGTATCCAGTCGTAGTCGATTACGCGCGACGCCGCCCCCCAAGTGCACAGCCAGAAGAGAACCATGGACACGGCGAAGAGGCCCGAGAGGAAGGTCGCGAGGCGGTACGTCGAGAGGTGGTGCGGTATGTGGTGCGGCGAGGAGCGGCCCGGGTAGCGTATCAACGATGGGACGTCGACTTTGGCCAGGTACAAGTAGTGCAGGTTGAGGCCCCAACCCCAGACGGCTGGGCGTTTTGGTTTAGCTTCTTGTACAATCGGGGGCTCGTGGGCGGCAGGAGAGGAGGAACTGACCTAGTGTTGCGATGAAGCCGACGCGAAAGGGAAGAGGGAATACGAGGCTGAAGGCGTCGAGTTCGGATTCGACTGCTGGATCACCGTCCATGGTGGCGGCGCGTCATGGACGCAGGTGCTAGGTGGTGTAAATGAGTGGCGAGAAGTAGATGAGTGCCCGGCAGTAAAGGAGCGGTGCGCGGGTCGTAGAGCAACAGGGCAGTCGTGGTTCTGTGAAGACGTGGCCGGGAGATGAAGTCGTAGATTCCAATGTCTACTTTTTTTTTTGCTCAGGGGGCCACGAGACACGAGACACGTTGGACCAATGTCGAGCTGGTTGGAGCTACGTCACGCCCCGCCATGGCTGGCTGGTTGGAGATCCACTGATGACTGATAACGCCTAGCTCATCATTTGAACCTAATATCCAAAGAGCAATTGCAGACCGCGCCTCAACAAAACGCCCATGGCACCGATACCATACATTACAGCACGACATATCATCCAATAACAAATTTCTATTTCATACTCACAAAATTGAGTCGTGCTGCAATCACAACGGTGAGACGTCCAGCTTGAACCACCCAGAGCCTCCACCGCCTGCCGCTTCTGGCCCGGCACATGGCTACATCCCCCACACTCCATTGAACCTCGGGACAGGAAATCAGAATCCGGGGGAACGAAGCTGCCGACCTCCGACCTCGTCTTTTCAACTTGACCACACATTCGCAACCGTCTTTCTCGCCATACACATCCACTCGCTAGACGCTTCTATACATCACAAAAAACACTACGGCAAACCAGCGTCGACAATTTCCTGTTTCCCAAAAAGAACAAGAAACGGCCCTACTTACCCCGGGCCGCCATGGCCTCGAAACCACTCTCCTCGCCAACGGCATCGCCAACAGCATCACCCTACCCATTCGCCGCAGCACCAGACATTGTGCGCGCGCATCAAAAAGACGCCTACTTCACAGGCCACCTGGCCAACACCATCAGCGACCTCTACCGACGGCTCTTCGGCGCTCGCGCAACACACTCGCTCGCCCCCGAGCTGCGCTCCCTCGCAGCCCTGCTCTACTTCGCGCTCACCACGCTCCCAGGCAACCGGACCCTGGGCGAAGAATACTGCGACCTGGTGCAGGTGGAATCGCCCGCCGGCCAGCTCCCGGACGTCAAGCAGCGAGCAGCCTACATCGCGGGCACCATCCTCCTGCCATACCTCGTCAGCCGCACGCTCCCCAGCCTGCGCAACCGCCTGCGCAAGCTCATCGACAGGAGGCTCGACGCGCTCCGCCGCAAAGGCAACCAGGCGAGCAGGGAAGCCCGCGTTTGGGAATACATATCCAACCACCTGCCCTCGCTGACATCGGCGGCGCCCATCCAAGCCGTGACCCTGGCCCTCTTCTACTTCAACGGCACCTACTACGAGCTCACGAAGCGCCTCCTGTCCCTGCGGTACGTCTTCACGCGCGCCGTGCCCGACTCCCCCGACCGCGGGGGCTACGAGGTCCTCGGCGTGCTGCTCGTCATCCAGCTCGCCGTCCAGAGCTACCTCCACATCCGGTCGACCATCTCGTCGGCCGGCCGGCGCGAGCGCAACGCCCCCCCGGCCGGCAGCGCAGTCGACGTCTCCCTCGACCACACAAACTCGTACTCGGCAAACAGCGACCTCCTCCTCACGGAGCTGGGCGCCCGCGGGCCCCAGGAGAGCAGGGTCGACCTAGCCCTCACCACCCACACGCCCGTCTCTTCCTCGCCGCGCTTCGACCTGGCCGACGCCCAGGCAATGGGCTACATCAGGGGTTCTCAGCAGCGCAAATGCACCCTCTGCCTCGAGGAGATGAAGGACCCGTCGGCGACCCAGTGCGGGCACGTCTTTTGCTGGGAGTGCATAGGGGACTGGGTGAGGGAGAAGCCCGAGTGCCCTCTGTGCAGGAGGGAGGCCATGGTGCAGCACATTCTTCCCCTGAGGGTCATGTAAAATCCCTGTGCTGCGACAGTAGACAGACGGAAGAAGAAGAAGAATCAAAACCATATGAATTTCGGAAGCTTTTGAATTTCCACATTTTGCCTAATTTGCTCTTTTTTTGGGCTCTTGGAAAACTGTTCCGTGCAATCTAGCATACATGTCCATCTAGATATAGACAAAGCCAGCAGCATCACCAAGTCATCACACACCATCACTCCCTCTTGCTCACCGCGCAGAGCACAATCTCCAAAAAAAAACCATTTTGCCATCAACAACAGTTGCCAGAATTCCACACAACACCAAAACCACATCATCCGGAATAGAGCGGGTGTGCGAGGCGGTTGGGACAGTTGGCATGCTGAATGATGCTCATACCAAACACCTTGATAGACGTAGAGAGCCAAATGCGCTCACCGTCTAAAACAGCCCCAAAACAGTCAACGCTAAGAAGGCCCAATACTCGTCCCAATTGCGTCGAGTCCTTGACAGCAATCGTGATCACGGAAATCATCTACATTGTAGATTGTAACGTACACATGCCTACACCAAGTGCACTGTTTTCAAAAAAAGGTCCAAGACTATAATTGGGAGACAATCTCGGTCAATCTACATCAATAATAATATACACGCAGTTTTCGACGTCTCCAATGAAGGGAATGCTCTCGTACACTAATAATGCTAGTTATACAACAATGAAAAGGAAAAGTGAAACTGAAACCCAAACAACGCTGTGAAATGTATGATATTGAAAGAAAGGATCAACTACATCTCCCTTACGTGCCCCATTCACTGAATGGTGTCTTCATATAACACTCAGTCATCGACAAAATCTCCTTCCATGGTATCATTACTCTCCCGGATCATTATTTTCGCCAAGTATACCCCTCGCGCATACCGTCCTTCGAAGTCAAGATAGCCTGACAGTCATGTCAACCGACCTCGCTTGCTTCTAGTCTGACACGGGCCAGACAATGGTGTATTTTTTGGAGCTCCGTTGTTGGAGCCCTAGAAGTGTTTTTTTTTAATCTTTTGGTACTTCAAGTCGACCCACCGACTCGAATCCTTTTCCATCCTGCGACGTTGAAAAGAAAGGCCAAATAAATAGTCTAATGCCACCTCACCACCTCACGACAAAAATAAATATTCGTTCAAACAAAATAGGAATGCGCAATGCAGTTGCGGATGATGTGCTCCATGCAGGTATCTTGAAACGTCAGGTGTAGCCCGACAATGTAAACTCCGAAAACTCCTGGATTGTCGCTGCAGACATTTTTTGGCAGACACGCTAGTTTCAATGCTCGGCAGTGAAGACGACAATTTCGCCGCGATCGTTCCGGCGCAGGCGCAAGTTTCGCCAAAGTTCCTTTTCTTCGGTGGCCTTGGGCAAGTTGGAACCGGAGTCTTGGCGCACGCGATGGAACTGCTTCAAGGCCTTTTTCATGCTGCATCCCTTTTTGCTCTCAGGTCCTTTATTCACCAAAGAGAGGAATGCATCGGCACGTGGTTTGTATACAACCACTTGGCCCTCGCCAGTCTTGCCGTCCTTGGATTGCGGTCGGTATTCAATTAGCTTGGTGTCTCTGTGTTCTGGGTGCCGGTGAGAATGCTTCTTTGACTTCTTCTTGGACGACTTATTCATCATGGCACCGAACAGCCCGTCGCTAATGCCCCCGCCCTTGGAATGTTTCGAGTGTTTTGACTTCTTCAGAGGGCTTGCAGGAGAATTCCCGCCGACATCGCCGCCAGAATAGTCGGGGGACGGAGGGTACGTGTGCCGCATCATCTCTTTCAAGCTACCAGTAAGCCCGGAGTGCATAACGGGCGGCGCGTCTGTCATGACTCGATCCGCAGGAACATCAACATGGAGACGCTTGCGCTTCTTATCCTTCTTGGGCTCTCTCTCTCGGCTTCGTCGTCGCTCGGTCTTAGAACTGGGAGTCACAAATGCTGCATCCGTAGGCACGGGGCCGGAACCGTACTGAACTAGGGGTTCACCATCGTATCGCACCAAGGATTTTCCGTCACCAGTTTCCGGTCCCTGCTGGTCCATGACGAGGTTCATGTTGGAGGCATTTGGAGTCTGGCCGGTGGCGATGAGGTAATCAAACACATTGATATGATGATCGGTAGCGGCGGGAGGAGGTGTAGGAGCTTCAGGGAGCCCTTCTGCCGGGGATGGTTCGTCCTCAGTCTGCCCAATAGAGTCGTTCCATGGCTCGTAAGCTCCGTCCTCCCCCATGTCTTCAACATACGGCTGCAGGGCCATGTTCTTGGGTCGATCGTATTGATGCTGGTACCGGGAGTCGTCGGGTTTGTGGTTGTTGATCTTGGGTTTTTTGTTCTTCTCTTTGTACAATGCACCTTGGTATTTTTGGTCTTCGGTTATGCAGGACTATCGGGATGTTAGATGCTATGTGATGCAAAAGGCGACGTCGCGGCGGCAGACACGTTGTGGTGAAAGCTGGTTCATGGAGTGACACATACAGTGTGAGAGCGGTACTGTACACCTTGGAAATGGACCATACAATCGAGACAGGAAAAGGAAGCTCCGTGACAACGATTGCGGTGAGGGTCGAGTTTCTTCTTTGTTAAGACGTCACCACACGCCTGTTGGCATGAGAATGTTAGTTGAGTTGGGAAAAAAGATCATCTAGAGCGGCAAGTATGAGACGCGCGGGAGGAGGGTTATTATATCATAAGCCAGGTCACTGTACCAGGGGGCGTGTGCTTTTGAAAGGGGAGGGAGGGGGATGGATGTTCAGAGACAAGCCAAACGGAGGGTGGGCCAGGGGATCAGCGGGACACAGAAGGGAACATCCGAACAGGGCAGGGCCTATGTTATTGCTTGGTCAAAGACACAAAAGGACTCCTCCTTGCTCCGTAGTGCTAGCACCATCAGCCATCAGCCAGCATGTGGCGATTGCTTCTGGGTGTCGCGGGAGTGATGTCAGGGCTGGATGGCATCAGCATGATGGAGGGGGGCGTTGTGCAGCGTGGTGGGATGGGCGACGCGCCTTGGAAAATGAGAGCGTGGCATGATGGTGCCAGGCACTCCAAGGTATTCATTGTAGGGTCAAACGAGGCCACAAGAACAACCCAAGGACAGGCCCGGCTGGGGTGGGAGCACAGGAAGCCAGGAATGGAACAAGAATGGAACAGGAAACGGACTAGGATTAGCCTCACTCACCTCACACTGAAAGGAGACCATTCTTTTGGTCGTAATACCGGGCTTGCGGGTGATTGGGTCAGGACGTCGCTTGGGTTGGGCAGAGGCAGAGTGTGAGTGGACGCGGTGCTCGAGTGTGTGATGAGGCGGCCCAAGGGCAACAAGCAAGCGGGAGCAGCGGGCGGAGGCTTATTGTTCGCAAAGAAGCCAAACGCTGGTGTATGAGTGGAGGACGCGACGAGGCGACGATCGGGTGTGAAGCCGCCACGAGAGGCCAAGAACGGGACAAGAACCTTGAGCCTCCAACAGAACGAGGGGCCTTCCTTGTTGGATTGGGATGGTGTTGGGGAGCACGGGCGCAATAAAGCGGCAGAAGTCGAGGCGCCTGAGCAGTTTCAGGGCCTTGCTCTGCGGCGGACTCGAGGAGTCGAGGCTATCGATACCAGGTGCCGTCCAGTTGGTGGCAGGGGGGGCTCCCAATGGCCAATGTCGGACTGAGAAGTGACGGGAATCTCAAGAGAGTGACCTGGGTCGCGGTGAATACCGGCGAGACTGGCGGCTGTTCAGGAAGGGTACCGGGGAAAGTACTTTGTAAGGGGTGGCCAGACAAGAGGAATGCGTTTCAGTTGACGTCGAAAAGGACAAGCCCCTGGTTACTAGATGAAGGAATTGGAATGGGATGGAGGGGGGCGGTGCGGCGCGAGGCCCGAGATGGCTGTGTGTGTATGTATGTATGTGGTATTTGCCAGGTGAGTCTGGCGGGATGAGAATTGAGATTGTGTTCAAGGAGCCAGAGCGAGGCAAAGAAAGAAAGCTAAGAGCCGAGACGGCAGATGGTCGGCGGTGGGCTGTAAGCCGCAGGGGCCCGCGAGGCAGGACAAGGAGTTCTCAAGGTCGGAGGATAATGAGCAATGAAAGCTCCAGTGCGCGACAGAAAATGAAATTTTGAATAGTTGCGGGATGGATGTCGTGCCTTTATCGATATTATTATGGGCCCCGAAGCACGTCAAGCCGGTAATCGCGTTGCTCGGCGGACAATGTGCCAGTGTTTGACAAGCGGATTAACGTGGTGCGAGGGGAAAAGTCTGCGGGAATTGATTTGCCAGGCAGGGCAGCGAATTGCTCGACAGGCTCACTCTTTTTGCTAGGTGCGCGCTTATCGCCCCACTATTTACTGTTTGATAGTTACTTGAACTCCCCTAAGGATGTTTACTTCTAATAGAATAAATGCTGATATATTTGAATGTAATACCTGATGACCAGGTCCCAGGTAAAGCGTGAGCACACCTAGCAAAAAGAGTGATCCCGCCGAGCAATTCGCCAGCGCATAGCGTTTGGAGACGAAAATTTTGTGCTCTCGGGCATGTGGTGCTCCAGTGCTGCCTCCTGCCCTATCGCTGTGCCTGTGTTGTGCCTGCGGTGCTGCCTTCCTTGCCGCCGTGACGTGCGTCTCTGCCCAGTGGTTGACAGTCGACTGGTCCGTGTCTGGGCAATCAACGTCGCCTGGTGAATGTTGTGCGGGTTGCTGGAGCAGGTGCAGGCTCAAGCACACATCATGATATTACATACGGTCTTGTTGCCATGGCGCAAACTTGGACACGCTTCATGGGCCATGACGCCATTTCACAGATGCTTCTGGCTCTGTTCTGTTCTGATCTGCTTACTTAAGGAGTTCTCGTCCTCCTATCTGTATTCTTGTGTTTTTTTATAATGCTACCACCAGTCGTCCTAGCTACAACACCGCCCACATAACTTACTCCTACCAGACAACATTCGAGTGCTTATTAGCCCACGCCCCGCGCTGTCCATCTGCCCCCCCTCCAAAACACACCAGGGTCCAGATGGCTCCTTCCACCAGCTCTCAAACTCGCCTGAGGCAGCGCCTTGATTGGTCTGTTGAGGCGAGGGATCGCGTCGAGCAAGGACAGCGGCATGTCATGTGGACACCAGGGTCATTGCAACTCCCGAGGGAACATTGAATAATTGTACGTACATACATCCATACTCCTTACTCCGTAGTTATTTACGACACAAGGCGACAAGGAGCAACCTCCGAACTACTGCACATCAACAGACACCAAGGTTGAACGGCGGCCAATCTCTTCGCGACCTGCAGATGCTGCCGTCACAAGCACAACCCACGCAACGTCAGAAGCAGGTTTTCCAAGGTTGCCGTCTCCATCACTCCGTACGTACATACATACATCACACACGCACAGACACAAAATGTAGATAGGCACACTCCAACACCGAGACTGTGGCTGCGCCGTTGCCGTAAGCTGAGTGTCTGGCCTGCTTGGCCAACTGGGACTGCCGTCGATTGTCTGGAAAACAACTAAAGGGGTGCCCTCACACTGGCCATGCAGGCCAAAGGCTCTCCGGTGCTGAATATAGAACTGCACGGCCAATCGCAAGTCAATAGTCGTGCCGTCTTATTCCAGTCAGTCTAGAATTACGCTGTCAACATGCGCAGCGACGACCAATGTCAATGGATTCGAACCCCTCCCATGTCGCAGACGGAGCCAATTACTTGGCGGGCCGTTGGCACACAAGCACACCTTCACCTTATGATGGTAGTAACGAGCAGTGTCGACTTGCTTTGTGTGCCATGTCTACTGCGTACGCACACCAACTTGCCAGCTTCGCCCCCATCTAATAGTTACCAAGTGCTCCATAGTGACAACCTCAAGCATGGGCCACTGAGGAGACGGCATGATCATGCGCACTATGCGCACTGCAGTCCGAGTGGCTGAGGCTGCTGACCAAGGCGATGGGGAAAACTGAGACACTTACTCCGTATCTCAAGTCAACAAGCGAACGTGAACAAGAGCCGAGCCATCACTCAACTCCAAGTAAAAGAGCAAAGGATAAACGCACAAGACAAGAAAAGAAATCCGTGCTTTTACACTATTGGCAGCATGAAACGCCAGCCAGCCAAAGAAGTCTCACAGAGCACACGTCATATCCTCTCTTGCCGTTCCTTGTCGGTTCCTCACGACGGGCATCTTGGCCGGCGACAAGGTCCCTTCAAGCATCAAGCAATCCATGGAACCATCCGCGTCCCTTGCTTTTTCATGTTTTCGTTATTTCGCAGCCAGTCACTGCGCCCTTCCCGGCGCCTTGCAAGATTTGGACATGGGCCGGTGCATCTGCACCTCGGAGTCTTCCTCCGGACAGCGGCCTGCGCTGCTGCAGGGGCAGCACAGGAGCCCACACGGCGGCGCTGATGCGGGTTTATACTTGCATGAGACGTGCTCGCGATACTCCAACTCTAATGATATCGGAATGGCGCCCATCATGTACCGATTCCCGTGGTTGCGTAGGCGCTACGGGTGGCCAGGGCCCAACGATCCATCGTATCGAGATTTGTGGCTTAAGGGCACATCCAATGCCTCCATCATACTCATTGTACATATGTATGCCACAGTATCCCATACAAATGTCATCATGGCTTCAGAGAAAGGGAGCATACGGGCCCCCGCATAAATCCCCGCGCTGTAAGATCGGCCACCATGGTGCAGTTGCATCGTGACTACGGAGTAGGCTGTCAAGGCCGCTTGGTACGCCAAACAACCAGAGTTCAATCATCTCAACCTTGGGACGGCATGGCTTGCAGAGAGTCCGGGGGTAACCGTCCGTCTGGGTATGAGCATCCTGGTCCATATTCCCAGGCTTGTGCGCCGAGACGGTTTCGTACAGCATCCAGCATCATGCCCCCCCTCCGAGGGAATCGCGCAGCCATGTTTCAGCAGCGCCGTCTTTATTCCAATATCCCCAAGGAAGACGGAGGGAAGGCCGAACGAATACACGTACAGATATGTACGGTGCCGCGATGCACATGTCATATAAGCTTCGTTTGGGAAATGCTATTGTACAGGAATGGGTATCCCGCCCCTTCAGAACAAGGACGAATTGCGAGTTTCGCCTGAGACACGTCTGCGTTAGTGCTTTGATGGCGACCAAATTCAGCGTTTCAACCTCCCTCTTTGAGTCTGGGTCTGTCTTGCTTGCGAGTCAAGCCTCGAGTAATTCATGCTTGTCTCTGGAGGTCCCAATTCCTTGGGGTATCCGTACGTCGTATGTTGTGATGGGGGCTCCCCGTCAACCCTTTCTGCATAATCTAATCGTGAGCCATGCAATGATGCAGCTACCCCGTAGTTCAGAAACTTAGACGAGCAACACTGGTTTGTGATGGCCGATGTGTGTGAAAGTCGGCCATTTGGCATCATATACTTTGACACACTCGGAGTGCGCATTGCGAGTGCGAATATCCAGCGCGACGCCCACTCGTCGTCGTACTCGGTAACTTCATAATGCATGCTGGTCGGGATGGGCGTGTAACATGATTCCGTACTGATACTAGTAAGTAGTACTCCGTACTAACAGATTCAATGTGATTGATGATATGCACATGGTACTGGTGAGAGTTCGGAGCTCATTTTAAATACCCACATGAGCGACAGAGGATTAATGCCGAGGCCATGTGTCATTTCGAGTCGTCAAGCCTCACAATTGTGACGGATGCCCGGGCGGCTCAATCAAATCGGCTGCCCCCAGGAGGAGGCTTTGCGGATACAGAGTAGATATACTCCGTACTCCGTATTCCATCAATCTTTGGGGTATGGATGCATCCATCATCAGCCATCCGCCTCTCCTATGTATGTACAATTTCTGATGCATGTCTGCGGCGCAATCCATGACACGACAAAGCACCAACCATTGCACATTGACATTCATGATACTAATAAGACAAGAGAGTGGAGCGGAAGGCCCTCAACTCCCTTTTAGCCGCTTCGTCCGTCTGGTCTCAACCCGTCCTAACCGTCTTGACCGTCTTGACCGTCCTTGGTTGAAAGCCCCACACCACACCGTCGACCTCTCTGCCCACCAGACCTCAATCGTCCCGCACATTGGCGTACAGAGTACATGCGTCAATAGAAGCAAACTCCAGGGTTGCTCTTTACCGCCATCCGCAAACACAAAACTGTCGTCCCGTTGTGCGTGCATCTTGCACCGTCTTTTCGTTTCTGTCCACATCCCCAATCGTCTCCAGGGCCTCGCCTTCACACGTCCTTCCAGCACAAATCAGGGCCTCCCTCCCGGCATCACGGTCAGATATGCTCCAATGATTGGCACCTTCGTGTCCTGAACCAGGCCAGCAGGCACGATTAGGCATTCACGACACCAATAGCACCCGCGCGCCCTCACCGAAAATTCTGCAATCTGCAATCTGCTTCTCTGCAGTCAGCCTCGCCACACAAGGACGCCGCCTCGCACATTGCCACCGTTGGGCATTTGTTGTGTTTTCCGTGACAGGGCTGCATCCTCGCCGAGGCAACCTGCCTTGACATCATACCGCCTTGTTTTGCTTCCCTCGACGTCCATTGTGTCATTGGCTCGCCCGTTGCTGCCGCCGCGGCCAGAAACAAGGCGCAGCCTTGGGGACCTGAGACGATCACAACCCAGCCCAATCTCAAGCCTGCCCGTCACCAAAGGGAAGGCTCTCGATGCCTGATCGCGCCGAAATGTCGAGCCACAGCTCTGCTCCCGCCTCGACCCTCGGCAGCTACCTGGAGCAGATGGCCTCTGCACTCAGCTCAGTAGCTTCCTATATGCGTCTTCCTGCATTGGCATCCACGGTATGTGAGGGTGCCAGATTTGGATCTTGCAGCTGTTGCTTGGTCATGTTGTACAGAGCCTGACGGCTGACGTATGTCTACAGGGCATTGCTGCCGCGCTGACGTCGCTTCTTTATTTTAAACAAAAGTATGGTGATTTTATTTTATTTTATTTTATTTTCCCCTCGAGGCTGTCTTGGTAACCCGGCACTTGGCACTGTGACGGATCCTGGTGGTGGTTGTGTGCCGAGGCCATTGGAAGGAGGTTGGGCCGGTCGGCTAACATTGTATTCTCACCAGGGCTTTGATATACCCGTCCCACATGCCCCCAAACTCCCGGACAGATGTACCGAGACCTTCCCAATTCGGTATCAGGGACTTTGAAGAGCTTGTTATTCCTACCGACGATGGCGAGAAACTCTCCGCCTATTACATTCGAGGTCCTCGTGAGGGCCGTAACTCCAACGTGACTGTCATTATGTTTCATGGAAACGCTGGAAACATTGGTCATCGGCTCCCTATAGCAAGACTGCTCATCAATTACACGGGCTGCAACGTCTTTATGCTCGAGTACAGGGGATATGGCACGTCAACCGGTGAGCCCGACGAGGCAGGATTGAACATGGATGCGCAAACCGGCTTGAAGTACCTGCGCGAAAGAGCCGAGACACGAGACCACCGCCTCGTCATCTATGGTCAAAGCTTAGGCGGCGCGGTTAGCATCCGGCTGGTGGCTAAGAACCAGGACGCCGGCGACATTATCGGCTTGGTGCTGGAGAATACTTTCCTGTCCATGAGGAAGCTGATACCATCTGTCATTCCACCTGCCAAGTATCTGACTCTGCTCTGCCATCAGGTGTGGCCCAGCGAAGCATCTCTACCAAGCATCACAAAGGTTCCTATCCTATTTCTCAGCGGTCTACAGGACGAAATTGTGCCGTAAGTCTTGTCCCCTCCCCTCTTTTACTTTTACACAAGCTTCTGTAAGAAGAAGAAGAACAAAAACTGTCATGGATCATATGATGATCAAATACCACACCCACAAAATATGAGCCGCTTGCGGCGCTGATTTGAAACTACCATCTCTCAAGTCTGATTGGATCCCTTTGATGCCACACCTTCAACCCTAATGAAGTACCACATTAAGAAATCTGCCAAACTGACTAAATTGCGCTTTCCCATGAGATAGGCCCAGTCACATGCGCCAGCTATACGACCTTTGCAACGCACCCGAGAAGCGCTGGAAGCCACTGCCGGGTGGCGACCACAACTCTAGCGTCCTCGAGGACGGCTACTTTGAAGCCATTGCCGATTTTGTTGCCGATGTTACGAGCCAATCATCCCTGGAGAAGACGCGGTTATAGAAATGGTAGGTAATATTATCCTGCCGGAGCGGCGCAAATCCTATGATGCGTATTTTTTTTCTGGCTAGACAACTCGTTTTTTTTCCTGCTGGAAAGATGTGTAGTCGAGTCGTCATGATAGATACCCACTTTGTCTTGCCAAGATTGTTAAGCATATACACGGAAATCAGTACATAGACACAGTCTCTAATAATGAGGGGAGTGGAAACATGGTGTCTTTGCCACGAGCAAGTGTTGATTTATTTATTTATTTATTTTCTTTTTTTTAACAAATTATCAGTGGAGGGGGCAGTAAATGGACCAATCGCGCATGTACTTGCGCCACGAGGACCTAATGTACCGTCCCGGTCTGGCGTTGCGTCATTTTCTCTCGTGTGTCTATGTGCATGTCATAAACGTCGGCGGGGTGCCAGAGATCAGAGTTCGACGCGAGGAGTCGCAGGCGGTGGGTTGTCCATGTGACTGACGCTTGGAGGGTTGGTGATTGGGCCGCGTGATGCGCGGTGGTATTGGAAAGGCGGTGTTGTGCGTGGGGTGTTTGTAGAGAGGCAGAGGGATGGATGGGAAGTTGCTTGTATGTAGGTTAGGTCGCGATTCTTTTTTTGGATTTTTTTTTACTTTCAGCAAGGGAGTTGGCGCTTTAATGGTGACTTGTCGCGTTGAGACGAAATCCAAGTGTTTCTGAGAGTGACGAAGCGGCGACTACTAGTAGCACTTGGACTAGAGGCCATGCTCATACCGGAATTTCAACGAGGACCAAGCCATGGTGATCATGGCGATACAAGTATATAATACTAATGCTGCGAAATAAAGACGTATATTGTGATTAATAGAACACTGGCGGAGACATCTCAACACTCGACGTCCCCATCTAGCTCCTGTGTCCACGACCGCTCCCTCTCAATCTTCTTCTTTCTAAGCCCGACTAAGCGTCTTCCCGTGGTCCGGGGAGCTTCTTCGACGGCAGTATCCAGCTTTGCAGCGGCCCTTCCGGCAACGGCACTCCATCCGGATGCATCCGTCTTGCTCACGTCGTCTCTCCTTGCGACATGACCTGCGGAATCGACGTGGCACAGGAACACCTTGCCTGCTACATCTGAGCCCTGAATAGTCCTGGCAAGACGTGGTTTCAGGGAAATGAGAACCTGTTCGAGGGCCGGGGGCGACAGAAACGACGAGTAGGATGTCGTTGCGCGGAGGAGCACCTCGTCTGAGGGGAGGAAGCTGATTTCAAAATGGACAGACGGCTGAGTGGACAGATCGGAGTTGAGGGAGGTTTTGACGTCGTCGATGGTGAGGCCGAAGCGGGGGCTTGTGAGGAGGAATCCGTTGAAGGGGTCCTGCACGGTCAACGGCGGAGAGGGAGCGCGAGATGCGGCGGCGCTGGCTGCGTCTGCCGCTTGGGCAGCTCGGATCTTGATACACTGGGAGAGTGTCTTGCTGGGGGCAGAGACGAACCGAGTGCCCTTGAAGACGATGACGTAGCGGTAGGGCTCAATGTCTTCGCTGCGGCTTTCAAGCCCGTAGTCTTCGGCCAGGACGTGCAGGAATTGGCGATATGTGGTGCTCATGGGCTTGTAACGGAGACGCACCTCGTTGGGGCTCCTAGCAAAGACGCGGAATTCGCGTTCTTGCGTCTCAGCCCACGACGTATTCTCTTTGAAGAGGCGGAGGGTGGTGTCTGAGTAGGGGATGTGATCGTTTTGATGGGAGGTAGGGTCAATGTTGAGAGCTGCGGCGAGTCGACGATTGCGCTCGAGGCGCAGACATTCGTCGTCGCATTTGATTTCGATACGGCTTGGTGTGGCATTGGAGCTGCTGGCGAGACATTTGACTTCTTGGGTGCGAACGCCGCAGGGGCATGAGATGACAGCTTTGGCGGTGCAGGCGGATGACTCGTTGCAAGCTGTCATTATTAGTTTACTTTATCTACAGGCGGTTGAAGCATTGCTCTGAGACGGATCTTGACTTACCAGTTTGTCCGTGGCATGTGTTTTGGCATGGATGTTCACAGAACAATTTCGTTTTGCCGCAAGCCTGCTCACAACGCTTGCCTGATAGATTGGCATCCTCACACTCCCCGGGTCGATGGCACAGTTTCTTGCAGCTATGCAGTCCGCACTTTAGCTTCTTCCCGCAAACCCTCCCGCAATGTGCCTCCTGGAGGTGGCACGGCTGGCTGTGAATCTTTTCCTTGCCACAAGCGCACCATTTCTCGACCAGGAACGGGCACTTGGGGCAGGATATGTCTCCAGCGTGACAGTTGTGCTCCACGGACGGATGTCCACAGCTGGGCCGTCGGAGACAGTTGAAACGGCAGTCTGGAGGCCAGGTACCGCACGGCTGAGGGGGGTGAAGGACTGTCCGGCCGCAGTCGCAACTGATTTCGGTGAAGATGGCTTCTGGGCAATTGGCACATGGGCCACGGTGGCAGATTTGCTGGCACTCGTGACTGCCGCACTTCAACTGTCTACCGCATGTCTTGATGCAAATGTGCTCTGCTTCGATCGATGTTACTTCACTAGGAAGCTTGTGCTTTCGTCGAGCTGCTTGTCTCTCAGCAGCCTTCTTCTCGCCTGCACAGCAGTGCTCTCCGCACTTGTGACGACCGCAGCTCAAGTTGGCTTGGCAAATTCTCATACACATGGGGCTTTGAACATCGCCCTGATGGCAGACGCTCCGGGTGCGTGTCCGGCCACATATGCAAGCAACCTCTATAGTCTCGTTGCAGAATCCACAATCTCCAGTATGGCACTTGGAGGCGCACAAGTGCCCACACGGTAGTTTCTTATGGCAAGGCTCCTCGCAATGTGGAATAGGGTCCTCACACGAAACTCGAGCATTTTTGAGCAGCTCGCCGAGGGGTGTTTTGCCACACGGGCAGTGTGTGACAGATTCTGGCGAGTATGGGCAGTGTGCTGGCTGCTCGTCCTGCGGATGACACGACTCTGAGCATTTATGGATGCCGCAGTCGAAACTGCGCTCGCAGAGCCGATCGCATGTAAAAGTTCCATCAAACCAACTCTGGTCCGCAATGTGGTATGACATCTGTGGCTCTTCTCGTTCAAAACACGGCATTTGCTTCTCAACTCGGCCGCAATAACACTTGGCATCAACAGTCATGTCGCAGTCTCCACAGAGGCCGGAATGGCACGGCTTGGAGCAAAAATGCTCCCCACAAGGAAGCAAATCTCCGCAGGTTTCCTGACAGCTCCATCCCTTCTCGTAGTCGGTCTCTCTGCACAGCTTGCGAGATTCGTTCTTTCCGCAGAAGCAGGATTGAGTTGGCCCTATTAAGCCACAGGGCGGGCAGGGCCCGGCATGACACTGAAGAGGGCACGGGTGTGGACATGTCGGTCGCGGTTTCGAGCACGTTTGACCACAAGAATGTGGAGGCAGAGATGAAGGTGCTGGATGGGGGTTGATATCCTTTCCGCACCAACAGTGATAGGACCCGGGGTCGTCAGATAACTTCGAGTTGCATCCTGGACATCTCCAAGTAAACACTTGCCGAGGCTCAGAGGGCTGTAAATCTGTCTGCTTTTTCTGGTTGTCGTACCATTTCCTGACGCATTTCAAATGAACAACAGTCCAGCAGAGGGTACAAGACCAAACGTGTGAAGTCCGCACAACATCGTCCGTGCAAATGGCACATTCGTAGTTGAAGTTTCTTATGTCCTCATGGATCCTAGTTCCCAGGTCCTCTGCCGTAGATTTTGGAAGCCTCACTTGTGGCTTTGCAAAAGTCTTGGGCTTGGTAGGTTTACTGTGCAAGGTCAGGTCTCACTATATCATAACTATGTGAACGGTCGAGGGGAAACTGCATACCTCCTAGTTACTAAAGGCTTACCAGGGACGAACTCTGGTGCATCCGCGCTCAGCGAGGGAGCAGCAGAGACGGCACTATCACCAGCTTCGCCACTTATGCCGGTGAGGTGGCCACCAAATGATCTGTGAGCAAACGATCGCGGAGCGTCATGTCTTGCTGAGCCACGGCCAACTTGTCGTGGGCCACGAGGTCTTCGGTCTCTCCCTCTCTGGTTTGAGTTGGAACCATCTGGGATTGATCTAGTTGGTGCTTCCGAAGATGCCTGACTCTGCCTTTGTGTGGCTGTAGAGCCAGCTTGTGATTGAAAAGTCTCGCTTTGAGAGGGAGCAGATGCACCCCCCGAGCGAGAACCGTCTACCAGTTGACGGGTCTTACCACCGCGGCCTCTGCGGTGACCATGATTTCTTCCCCGATTAGGGCGCTGCGACTGGGTTTGAGCTTGAGAGCCCTCCGCCTCGGGCATAATCTGTGGTTGGGAAGAGGCGTTCTGGGGCAAAGGAGTTGAGGTGGCCAATGTGGAACTCTGAAGTGAAGCTCGTCGAACGTTTTGCTGTCGGAGAACGAGTTTTACTCGGAACGGCTTGGGATAGTGAAAGGCAAACGTACAAACACGTATATGTTCAAGCCAAGTCAATAGGATGGCAAAGAGCCCAGGTGAAGAACGAGAAATAAAGAGGGAAGCGAGACAAGAGAAGAGCAAGCGGCGTTGACTTCTTTGATATTTCGCCCGTCGTCGCAAAATGCTGAAGCTTGAGTGGAGCCTCGAAGTCGATGCTGGACGTTCAATGTTGTTTCCGCAAATCTTAGTGGCTGAAGAATTGTCTAGGAGAACAACTAGCCAGTGGCAAAGTCGCCTGTGCAGGCTGACAAAGACTCTGGCGACGTGCCAAAAGCAGTCAACTGGTCAACTGGTCAACTGGTCAACTGGTCGAAAATGAGTCACCAACTAATGGGCAACAAGAGGGGCAAAGCTGCCGCCCGAATCTCGAATTGACCAATCCCAGCGCGTTGAATCCGTGATGTCGCCTGTGCACTCGAAAAAGAGTCATAGTGACAAAGGAACCTTCCCAATTCTGCACTCTGACGTGCGACAAATTGAGTTTTGACTCGAAAATTGATCCTCAATTTTCTCCAGGCAACCCCAGGGGATATTTCTTGCGAGTCAGCCAGATTCGAAATTGAACTGCAGGCGTAGTGTTATCCTTGTCGGAAATCGTGCTTCTGTACGGAGTACGGGGTAGGAGACGAACCTGGTGATGCATTATGCCTACCCTACGCTGCCACAATGACATGTCCAACATGTTCAGTGCTTGCTGGGGAATACATGAGGATCTGGATCTGGGAGGAAATCGCCTTTGATATTTTGTTATCCATATTTCACGGGAAGAAGGTGAGAAAGTCATTCTGTGGACTGTGTAAATAAATTTAGACGTTGGGATATTCGCTCATGCTACTTATGGCTTTTGTATATGTGTCTCATATGTCTTACGTTACAAACTACTATCTCTAGCTGTAACAAAAACTGTGTACTTTTCTCATCACAAAATGCCTATGAAGATATTTCAGTCTCAGATAGTGCAGTGCGCCGCCATGCACATTTACTTTGGGATCTTGAAACCCCATGACCCCCCATCGCAAATGTTGAAATTATTCAAAATAGTCACGGCATGAAATCATACCTTTAGAGTATGATTGTGATGGATACCTGCCGTACACCCTCTTTATCCCACTCTGCATATGAATTATCAATACACCATGCCCAACCGGGAATAAGGCCAGCATGCTGTACAACGACAACCAGTCTGTTGTGTCACGGAGCTTCGTTATAATATTGGTCCAAGGTATCTTGTGATATGTCGTGTACCCTTCGACTCGTGCTTTAGATTGAATCATGTTCTTGGCCCCAGGGTTTCACTGGAAATGGTGTGCGGAGAAGCCACCACGGGAGGTTGTATTACTGGTCGAATCCTAGTTCTAAAGTTCTAGGTTTGTTAGACATCAACGACGAGTGTGTGCCACTGCGATGTTTATGGACCATGCCACTCCAATTGCTTCATCCCGCTTATGTACAGCGGTAGTCCACAATGGTCGAGTGTGTTCCATGCACCAAGCAACTCATCAATATTCAGTCAGCCGGTGTAGGGATGCATACCAAAATCACCAGTTTTGAACGGTCTTCTCCGTACATCAGGTCCTCTGGCATCGAGGATAAGTCGGGAATAAGGAACAGAGCACAGGCCGTTTTTCGTCAACTTTGAAATGCAAAGCACACCGACAGGGTATATTTCCCGTTCAGCTGTAACATATGAGCTTCGGGAATCACGGATGCACGAAAACTCACCCATCGATACATGTGTACACTCGATGCGGAATACCATGCTACGACGGCTGGGTATCTCTTTCCCATGCCGTGGCAAAATTTTTCCATTGAGAGAACACCAATGTTGCCCGACAACAACGCACTTGAAAACAAATCACTCCAGAACACAGAAAGGCGAATATGTTACTCAGGACTGATGTGATTCGACGCAACTTGCCGGGGGGTCATTGGATACGAGATGCAGGTCTGGGGCGCTATGCAGGCTATAGACGCTGCACTAAAAGCCAACGGCTCGCGACCTCGCTTTGAATAAAATTTGCTGATTCCTCCTCACGTAGAACCGAGGGTTTCCAGTCTTGGATTGGGACGTAAGGAGGCAAAGAGGCAGAGAGACTGCGTCTATCTTCAAATTCCGCAACCCCTTTTCCATCCGGTCAGTGGTTAACGGGAAGGATGCTTGGACGCACCTGCTGTTCGGGTTTTGTAGCGGTACCATGTCGGGTCAATTGAACCGCCCAGGCACCTGGACCCCCTGGCGGCTGACACGACAGGGTGTCTGGTGCGCCAACGCCCGCCTTGAGTGGGCAACATTGAACATTGAACCGACCATTGCATGTCATAACAAGCAGAGGGACTGTCTCTGCTTCTGGCTGAGGCAGAGGCAGCGCCGACTTTTTCTTCTTCTTCTCTCGCTCTTCTTCTGCACCATAATATGGCAATGCAACTTCGCATGCAACCCAGCTTTTGCCGAGATGATGGCACTTATGTCGCCTTCCCGTTTATTGGCCATATTTCGCTAACCGGGAACACGATGGACATTGCCTTTACGGAGTTTTCCGTACCCAGATCCTCAACCTGGGGGAGATGAGTCTCACGCCACTTGCAGCGAACGGGCTGAACCCGGTGCCTGGTGGACTAGTAGAACACATGTTTGCTTTCCGTCCCAGGCGAAAAGTCCATTTTCGCCGAAATTTGAGTTGGTCATGCTTAACGCCACTTCCTTCGGTGCACAACCGACTACTTCTCTCCCTGACGAAGCCTATCTCGAATTAATCCTTAGCCGCTTTACAACGAGCCTGAAAAACGTCACCACGCCACGGCCTTACAATCTACGAATCGAACACATGGGTGCATAGTACTCCGTACTTGGTAGTACTGCATACTACACACATACTCCGTACCTACTGTACATGTACGTATCGCAACCACGGAAGTGGAGAGAGTGTGCTGGGTATCCTTGACTGACACTATCAAATATAGAAACACTCCACACATTTTTGCGACTACTACTAGGTTGTTTCTCGAGCTAAAAGCCGACGGAAGCGTTACACAAATCCGCATAGAGATGGGCTGCTGCGAGTAAACACCACACGTATGGAGTACATGCGCACTCTGAACTGTGATAATGACATTGTCTTGAGATAAGGACTCCGTAGATATTGCACGCTGACTACATCGTGGCCCGAGACACCCACTTTTCTCGGCCTCACCCGTCTTCGCCTTTTGCTGCAAGAACTGGGAGTAGGGACAGGGTTTCCCTCAGCTGGTTAAGTTTCCCCACTCCTTGATAGAATTGCCCTTGAATGCCTCATTTTGACCTTCTGCCAAAAAACCCGAGTCAGCAGGGTCCAATGATACAACTCGACATTTATGCGACCCCCGTCCAACTTCTCGTGGAAGCCAGGCGTCCATCCTGGTTGCGAGAGAAACTCAAACGGCCACAACCGCGGTAAAACACTGCGTACGGAATACAATCACTGAATTTATATGCAACTGCGTCTAGTATTGGTTCTTCCTTTAAGAGCGCCTACACACAAGTCGTAAAGTCCTGCGTCTGGCGTAGACGATTATCCCAGCGGGGAACATCCGTCAACAACAACTCAGCCTCCATCGCCTCTCACACCACAAAATTATTGATGATTAAACAGTGGCTTCACCTCTTGGCAATACATGGTTACATTACACATCCCCGCAGCGGCTAGGCTTCTGGATCTCAGCATCGCAGGCTTCGACTGTCTGTAGATCTCCAAGGAGGAGAATGGGCCCGCAGGATCACTAATGCCAAGCGACAACACATCATAACCCGATGTAATCCAAATATCGAGGCTACCTTCGCGTACGATGGGCAGAGGCGAATCACAGGCGGCTTCCCAAAGGTTGCCCACCAGAGCATCAGGCGACGACTAATTGAGAGCTTCAAATGACCTTCGTATTCATTGGTTTAGCAACAGAGCGATTCTGAATAGCGCTTTTCAGCCCCACCATGGTCTGTCCAAGTTGTTCTCGATGAGATACCCGGCCCCGGCTCGACAATGAACCCACAACACATTGGGGAGTGTCATGTACATTGACAGCATCAATGTTTCCCTCTGCAAAGGGGTTAGCGATGTCAGCCTTGCCGCCTCCCACAGGCGCATGGACCCTCTCTGTTCGCACAGCACAACTCTGGGAGCTGTGGCTGAGGGTTCCCCTTCCTAAATGAGCTTGAAAATTGGTTCCTGGTGCATCCGACTCAGATGTCGGACCGTCGTGGCCTGTCACTATCGCATCATACTACTACCACCCATCCACACCCACTTGACCCATGTGCGTTTGTACATTCTCACCATGCACGTATTCAGACTATCCAGGCGCATGCCCAGCCCCGGCTCCCCACCTCTTTTGAACAGCCTGTTTCCGTTGACACGCCAAGAGGTCCGTCCGACATCACAGCAATCGCGTGGTTCAGGTGAACATTGAAGGGGCCCAGGCCGCCGACATAGCCGGCCCCTGCACCAAGAGATGGGAGGTGCAGTCCACTACGCGGTGTACTTTATATTCTTATTTAGGTCACTCCATCTCTTTTTGTCGGGTTGAGGTCCTTGTACACTCGTTGGCAGTGGTTCATTCTTTTTTCTTTCGTTGTTGGCTCTTGTGGTGTATAGTGTCTTGCCTTCGCCGCTGAGCGAAAAGAGCCGTCATCATGAGGGCTTCGCCACTTACTCCTTTCTTGTCCATTGCTTTTCTATCTTTGCTGGCGCCGAGCTATGCATCAACTCTTGAGAGACGCGACCTCGTGCCACCAACCGACGCCGATCTGGGTAATGGCTGGGCGTACCAAGGCTGCTATGTGTAAGGAACTTTGCAGTGTATTCCCCTTTTCA